GCTTGCACAAGCACGGCTGATGTTCGCCGTCCGCGTGCAACGGTAATCCATATTGTAATGACAGTAAACCCCGCGTGTAACTGTGCGATGGACATTTTATTATGCGTCCAATGCGGGTGTGCGGGTGTGCGGGCGTGCGTGCGTGCGTGCCGGCATTTTTCTTCGGAGATGCTTCGGCATCCCTTCGATTCGCCCGATGAAGCGCGTCTTTCACTTCCACACATACACACGTACGCTGTGCAGTGACTTTTCCTTCTCCTTTTTCTCGTTTTAACGACGAATTTGGTGAGAAAATGATTCACGAGAAACAACGTGAAGTCGCATGGGCTGGCCGGCGATTTCCGTTACGTCAAATTGCCGATCCTAAATGCGCGTCTCTACTTAACGATTGAGCAATTGCCTGATAACGTAATCATCCGCCTCGGTCGTCCGTATTTCTACGTAACATGATTGGTAAAATGATTGCTCCTGGTTTCTCCGAAGCTCGCGATCCAAACTTTCGATAGCCACGTACACACATACACACACACAGTGTGCGCGAGCGTATCTTGATCCCCGATGAAGAAAATTACGTTGCTTTCGCACGGAAATCTGCACCGTGACGGCGGCACCGGCGCCGGTCATTTGGATCGTTTCCCCGGTCGAGAGATGAATTATAGAGTCGAGAGAGAGAGAGAGAGAGAGAGAGAGAGAGAGAGAGAGAGAGAGAGAGACGCGCCTCTGATAAACTACGAAATAAATCGCCAGTTCTTTCCGCGTAAGAAGCTTTTACCGTTGTCCGCGGATCGGGCCGGCCATCGATTCCGCTCTAGCATCCAGCCGTTTGAAACGGCCTACACCTGACCGCAATCACAATTACGACCTTACCTGGCTCGCACTTTATCGCAAGTCTCACTTTCCTCGGCGCGAAAGAGCGACCTTTGCAGAGGTCACCTAGACCACGCTCGAGTTTCACCGGCCGTGGCGCGCTCGTCCCGGCCGATTCCCTCGGTGAAGTCGGACGATCAATCTGCTACTTCCTTCTTCCAGCGTTGCAGCTGAATTAACGCTGTAAGTGGTGTTTGCGCCTGATAGCCACAATGCGCGATCGCGCTCGCGCTCGCGCCCGCACATGTGCGATTGTTTGAAGAATACGACGATTCTTGCAGTTTGCTCAATATAAGCTTCAAGATGTTTTCGCACGGCCTCTCGATAAGATTCGCCTGTTCAGGCGTTCAGGTGTTCAGGCGTTGCTGCTCTCGTGTGAAGATGCACGCCGTTTCGAGAAACGAGACGAAAACATTGTGACGATGGGAGGATAAAAGTTTGCCTATTCAAATTTCCGTTTGCGCAACAGCCGCGAGTTACGTCGGTCGTTATTTGCACGACCGAACGTCCACGTCGAATCATGAATTGTCGATCGTTTATGGAATTTATTCGATAAGTATCGCCAGTTGGGCTCGCGGAATTGCAAGTGTACCGGGTCCTGCTTGCCTTACCTTACAACAACGGTTGATTTATTCGCAGGACATCCGTCTGCATTGTTTTGCAACATCAACAGCGCTGCACAGCCCGTCATTATGCGGCTGATGCATAATTTGCCGGTAACGCAAGCGCGGCTTCGTTCGCCATTAAAGCAAACGGTGCAAACCTACAGCCTAATATCAGGGAGGAAGAGCTCGTCCTAGCGGATTTAAGTGCGTGCGTGCGTGCGTGCGTGTGTGTGTGCGTAGAAGATTCCCTCGCGGGTACAAGCGTGCGAACTAATTAATTATTGGCTTCCTGACTTTGGCCGCAGATAACAGCGCTGGACAAGTGAGAATGAGGCTTAATCTCCATATCCGAATATCATCACGCAAGCGCGTGGAGAAGGCGAGTTCTTTCGCCTTTACCATATCCTTCGATGGGCTCGCAAGAGGCTCTTGTCTTCCGCGAGACCAATTGCCATATAAATCACGCGGCTTTATTAGCCGTCAGGAGGAGAAGAAAGAAAGAGAGAGAGAGAGAGAGAGAGAATTATAGGGCTCCGAATTGTTCCTCGGAACGAAGTCGCTTCCATCCTACGCGAAACTGATTTACCGCTCCCGAGGCTCCTGTCCCGGCGAAGAAATCGCAGGAAGAAATCGGCACCCACATGGTCCGGCCTTTCGACGCGCAGCAAAGCCGGGCGATCTCGCGTCATCTTCGAGAGACGGTGCGCTTCAGCACCGACCGAAGAATGTTACCGAGGATTATCAACGCCGAACGCTCGGCGTTGATAATCCTCGGTAAACGGCGGGTATTAAAGGAAAGTCGGAGATAATGATTCGCCCGAAGTTACGTGGCGAAGTTACGGCACCTCGGGATCGCGCCTGGACTCACTTCCTGTATCATTTTATTCGCCCCGACAAATCGCCGCGACGAACGCGTCGCGAGGTGATTTCTTTTACCTCCACGTCGTTAGCCGCGTCGTCTCTTCGCACCGCCGAAACACCAAAGGAGACTCATTTATACGGCACATACATATGGCATCTACATACGTCCGTCCTCTCACGCGCATTGCGCAGTCATAGAGCGCCTCGTGAGAAAGCGTATCGCGCTTATTCATTTACTTCGCGCATCCCCGCCGACGCGTCGCGTGATTAATTGCCGCGAGATGTACCAGCCGCGAGATACGATATCGCGTTTGCGCTGGCGCTTAATGCGCGGTTCTTCCCCGTCCGACCAACCGACCAACGCGTCACTAACGAGTCTTCCTCAGCGCGCGCGCGCGCGCGAGCGCGAGCGCCGAAGAACAATTGTGGTTTCAGAGTTGCGCTACGAGTCTGACGGGCAAGGTAATTATGAGCTTCATCGACTGTCGCGCACGTATCGAGGGAATAAAATGTCGATTGAGCAAGGCGATTTTCCGCGTCGCTTTTTGTCCGCTCGTCCGTAATCGCATAAGACGTACATACAAAATAACGTAAAAGCGACGTAAAAACGACGATGCGTGTCTAGCTCTGAGTATTTTTATCGCCGCGGTATCTGGAGATTTGAATATTTAAACTCTCAGCGTATACATTCAACACGAATATTGGCGAAATATTGGCGCGAATATATTAAATACTCAAATTTACAGAACAGAGGCAATACTAATAAAAGGACTTCCGGAATTTTTATTTTAGCCACCTGTCCCAGAATTGGTTCTTTTATTATCTTCAGCAAGATCCAAAGATACGCTCTGATCTATTATCTCAGGAGACCCACATTCGCGCATTATTAGCCATCGCCGGCGCGAGGCGAATCGGACAATTTCGCCGCGATGGTCGGGCCGAAGCACCGATAAGTCACGATATTATCGTGTCGATAATCGGCGGCGATTAATGACCCCGGTCGAGCGCGCATTCCGCGTTCTTTCGACGAGACGGTTGCAACGAACGAATGATGACCTGGGTCGCTCTCACGCGTCTATCTCTCAGCTGTTCACTTCCGCTAGTGAAAGGTGCATGCACTCCGCGGCCGGGGCCTACGGAAAAAAAGAGCTTACGTGCATCCTCGTGCGGCGCATCGAACAAACACACACACATACACACACACATCAACACCTTTTAGCTCTCGGCTAGTGATTATCATCTGAAAAGACAGGCTCTCGCGGGTCGATTCGCGTCGCTGCGAGATCGGACATTTTATTGGGCGCCCACTCGGGAAGAACGACGCTCATTCTCATACCTTGATAAAAAAAAAAAAAGAGAAAAAAAGCACAAAGATTCGTACAACGTCCGGAAGCACATGGAGCGTTTGTTTCCTTTCGCGCCACGCAATATTTCGCGACGCTATCGATGTGAAAGCGAACACTGAAATTATCTCGCTCGGACCGCTGACCGAAATTCTGGGACGTCGCGCGAGCGCGCGTGTAAGGTCGGTCGTTTTACACGATCGGCTGAGAAATCGGGGAGAACACCGCCCGCCACTGACCTTGATATTAAATTCAAAGGAGGACAGAAATCCTCCCAGAAACGCGCGCAGTACGCGCGCGTTGCGTAAAATCGAGGATCCTCGTATCTTACGATCTCTCGCTTACGGCTTATGTCACCTCTTCTTTGAGAGCCGAGTCGAAGAACAGCGGCCGTATTGTCGCGATGCTCTTCGCTTGTGCTTCTCCCAGAGAAGCCCGTTCGTTGATACAAGTGTTAGAATTAATCGGTTGCTCGAATACCGCGCCGCGTAAAAGCGGATTAACCGAGACGATTCTCGAAGCGCCCGACAATCGCACATTCAGCGTCGGAGACATTTTTATTCGAGGTGTGTCCTTTCGTGAGGTGTGTCCTCGATCCCTCCAGCGCAGAATTTGCCCGATCTATCGTCGAATTTTGGCAGGCATTTTGAATTTCGCTCGCGCGCGATATTCAGAGCGAGGACGATCCTTCGTGCGTCGTACGCGCAGCGCGAGCAGAAGGGAATGAAATCGGGAAGAGTTCGGCGAAGTTTCGTCACGTTTGGATTTTGTGATTCTAACAGCAGGAATTTCTAAACCGCTCGCTCGCCGTGCCGCCTGCTAAATCGCGCGGCGACTCTGGGACGAGCGCGGCGAAGCTTTACGTCATTTCTGGCCTAGTTCCAATCGATTTACTATCATATTTGTAAAGCATCTCGTAGTACACGTTTGTGCAATGAATCGCGCTCGCCGGGAACAACGCGCTCTTACAAAATCGGCCTATTCCCGTTACAATAGAAAGTGCCGACGTATACCCACGTAGAATCGATTATGCATAATAAGATTTTTCGAGCAAATTGCGACGCCGGGATGATCGCGCTCTTTATTGAAAGCGATCCGCGCGCCGCTTGGTTCCTGCGCGTTCTTTCGTGCGCGAAAAATGCAGAGTTTACTCTCGCGAAACTTATCGACACCGACCACGCAAGACTATGGAGTATGGAGAAGACTGTAATTACTTTTATGACTCACTGCGTGTGTGCAATCGGTCATTTTGTCTACAATCGTTTACCTTTGTGAGCAATATCGATTTCCACGAAAGGAGAGGGAAAGAAAGGTAGTTCCCCAGAAGGACGCGAATATTTTATATGTATGAATTACTACACTAATTATACATGTTTTTGTATGTATGAATTACTACACTAATTATTTGCATTGACTTTCTATCGAATCCACTCTCATGAAGCCAAGTCGAGTTTCACACCGGCAAGATCACAACGTTTCCACCTGCGCCGCCATCCTCCTCCGCCTGCAGTTCCCGATGTTCGGCAGCGGCTTGTTCTTGCACTTCTTCACCCACCCGTCCCAAGCCTTGAATCCTTCTCGATTGTAAATCTTCAGGGCACATGCTATATCGTCCTGAATGTCGTCATTTATGAAATCCTCGCAGCGTTTATTGCATAATCCACCTGCACGTCCTCTGGTGCACCACGTGGCGCTGTTGATCTGGAGAATACCGAAGGAGTAGCTGGAAGCTCCCTTCGGCCCGGTCACCTTGCTCGTGTCTAATCCGCTCTCGCTCTGCATCAGGCAGATCCAATTGCTGATGAAACTCCTGCTGACTTTAGCACGCATCATCTCTCTCACGACGTCGCATTGCGCCAATATTTTACCTTCTGCCGGCAGTTGGCTAAGCGCGACTATCGAGACCAACAGAATCACCCACAGTCTCCCCATCCTTCAGGTTCTCACGAATTTACGCAGTAAAACTGCGGCGAACATGTATCTATGATTCACTTTAATCACTACGTTCACGGCTCAGCACATTCTTCAGGAGCGAAGGTCCAAGCGCTAATCTACCGTTCCGAATGCGTTGATCCTTTCAAGTAAATTCTCTCGCTTTGAGGAGTACCCCGAAGGCGAAGGTGCTCTTCACTACTCGTCACTCTCGAGTTGGCGCGAGTTTGATTCGCGTTGAAGCTTGGTCTGGCTTGAATAGCCACTGCTGGTTGTTCAGGAAGCTCTTCTTCCTTCTAGGTCTCCTTGTTGAAGAATTTTCCTCGGGAAGGTGTATTCTTCTACGTTCGATACTAGGCTAAGTCGACAATCTCGCGGTTTTCTCTAAGGCGCAATTTGATGCGGACTGCTGATAACGATTGCACTTACACGCGTTGAAGACTCATGCGGAAACGAGACGCAACCTGGTCTTATAAATGCGCCGTCTGCCGTTAACGCGGCGAACGATCGCGAATGGCCTTGAGCTTGAGTGATACGCTATTATCTACCATCATCGTAATAATATGCAAGACAACTGTCGACAGCTTCGCCACGTTGAGACGCCAGTTGTCGTTAGGCAGCGCTGAAATAAAACAACGACGGTACCGTTATTGTAGGAGACCGCTTGGTAAAAAATATTGTACATCGCGAGTCAAAAGTTGGAAAAAATTTGAATACCATTATCAAGCGATATAAATGGAAATTCTTCAGTGTCTGCTCTCTTCTTTTCTTGGTGCGAGGTTTCGGGAGGACGCAGGCCGTTACTGCGGTCGCAAATATATTCACTGCATGCGGAATAATCAAAGGCATATTAATCGACTATAACGTCTAAACATTACAGCGATAACGTATCTCTTGCATGCGTGATGACGCAACAATACAACATTTATTACCGATAATTGCACTCTGAGGTGCACATCGTAGACGTGCGCCGTCTTGAGGAAAAATCGCGCTCTCTTGCAAACAGTATTCTCTGTGTTCTCGTTTATTGCCAAACACATCACAAGTATATAACTATAAATTATCGTTATTTATTGCGTCTCTAACTGTTACATTTCTCTTTTGGTTTTTATTTTCCCCGAACGTCGCTGAGAAGCTCGATGATAAGCTATCGCTAGCAACACGATTCGCGTGGACTAACAATCGGTTCTTTTTCAACTCCGTTTCCTCGCAACATCAATGTTATTTTTCATCGAAGTTTGACCTCTCCTCTGCACCTCTCTGATTACGGAGTTTCTCAGAAGTTCTAGTCGCCGGCGAATTTCCCGAGAACGAGATCGATGCATCGATTGACTGCATCTCAGCGTATTTCGAACGTTATCACGAGGGGGATACAAAAGCGCGAAACAAGAGAGACAATTCGAGAGTATTTACATCTACATATATCGGGATAGCCGTAACGCGCTTTTATGCGTTACGAGATCGGCAGTACGAAACGAAAGATTGCGGAATAAAGTTTCATCAAAGGCACGATAATATCACATTTAAACTTAGCGTTACGGCATTAAGACTTACTTCAGACGCTAACGATCTTATAAAATACAGGCCATTACACTTGATTTCGATTGTCGATAGTCGGCGACGCGTCTTTCGTTATTCCCGAAGTGTGATTAAACTTCTCGCTACGGCAGTCATCGCTGATTAATGCAGTTTCAGTATAGCAGGATCCGCTCTATTACCAGATCAGTGTATCCTACATTGTAAATAAATTCGGGAATAAAAAAAGACACATGCGCCTACATCAATATCTTGATTATCGCATTTCACGATAAAAAACCTTGTGAGAATTATAGTCTCTCCGTCGAAGCTGCGGCCGATACATACGTTTCTCGTCTTACAGCGGAGCGCGTGAAATCCTTCCAATCTTTCAAAGCTTACTTGAGACTCGAATGAAATAACATTCCATATTTACAACACCTAACTAACAATCTGGCACCGAGGTTTAGTTCGGACGGTCCGCTCGTCGGTATTGCCCGCCAAGACTGAACCGCTGACGAAAAGGACGCCTCTACCTCGAAGGGACACGCGTCCCCATCGCATCTCTCTCTCTCTCTCTCTCTCTCTCTCTCTCTCTCTCTCTCTCTCTCTCTCCCCCCCTCTCTCTCTCTCTCTCTCTCTCTCTCTCTCTCTCTCCACTGCAACTTCATGCAGTTCATGTCGTTTTTCACTGTCAACTAGAATCTTCTTTTTCTAACAACTATTTTCGACAGCCGATAATCTCTCACATTGCAAGCTTGTTGCCATCAGCCAGCCGGATTGGTCCTCTTCTGTCTCCTCTCTTTGGCGAAGTGCAGTATATTCGGGTTAGCGTAAATCATGTCAGACAAGGTCTCGACGCCGGCGTACGTGTCAGCTTTGGATCCCATGCACATGGAGAATTGAAGACTCGGCAGCTCTTTGCTGCACTCGATCTCGTGATACACGTGCACCAGATGCCTGTCCGCGGCTCTAAAGACGTCGAGGCCCGACTTGACCGCCTTCTCGTAGAACTCCACGTCCTCCTTCCCCCATCCCTGAATCGAGAGATCCAACCCGCCGATGGTGACGTAATCTCTCTTGTAAAGAGAAACGATCCCGAAGCCGTACTGCCTCCAATGGCCGGAGACCTCGTTTATGGTGAATCTGTCCTGCCTGCTGGTTTCACTGTATACCACTTGGGGATTGTACTGGCTGAAGACGATCGGAAAGTATATCCTCCGACCTGGAAGCGTGTTTAGACGTATTCTGTTCAACGCTGAATTCGTGAAAACGATGTCCACGTCGATGAACAGCATCAGATCATCGGGCTGCAATTTCGACACGGCCGTGTCCAAGGCTCTGGCTCTGGAGAACTCGCCGGATATCGACAGGACATCCATGCTGGCGCTGCGATACTTGTACTTGAGCCGTTCGATCAGATCTATCGTCTTGTTGAAGGAGTTCTCATCCTTGCGCTGGTAGAGCACGACGAGCAGCGACGTCTTCTCGCCGACGGTCAGGCAGATGTCTTCGTAGTTCTTCAGGAACCTCTGGAAAATCTCATAGCGGCCTGACAACGGCAGGATGAAGTTTATGGTCTTGCTTCGCACTGAGTCCTCTTCCTGCTGGTTGAAGTTGAGATTCAGGAAACCACCGCGGAACAGATGGTGGATAGACGTGTCGTCTGATCTTTGGTGAGGATCGACTTCGACGCCGTTTACCGTCTCGCGTATCTCCAGTCCTGCGGAAACATATTCAATGGTCATTCACTGATTTCGTATCATACTCTTCTATCACGGCTCGTATCTCTCTTTCGACGTGACAGAGAGGAGAAATTTCATTTTATTTTCGTAAAATTGGACATCTTGGTGGCCAGAAAAGATCAGTTCTAATACAATGCCGTTATTCAGCGAAAGAAATACCGAGCGCGAAAGATATGGCGGAGTGTGAAGAGAGAAACGCACAGGCATCAACGATCGTACCAATGAAGTGCTGATGGAGATAAACGTGTCGTCTGACGGGAAGAGTGACCTTCCTGCCCCGGTACTTCCGGTAAACTAATAGAAGATCTAATATCGTGTCAGCCCCATAAGAGTTCACCCTTCTGTACCCATAAAGCGCCGATCGCTCCTCGACAACACGGCCGCGCTGCCGCGAGCAGGAATTAATGGAGGCCATGACCTCCCTCGTGATATCTTCCAGGCCCTCTTTAATGTCGCTATGAATACGCCGCCTTGGATTAGAGTCGGTCAAGCTGTATTCCAGCCGCGAGAGGAAGCCCCACGGGATCACCTCGTCACTCGTCGCCGGCTTGAACGAACTTAAACTCGCCGGTACACCTGTGAAAACAAGATTTCCTCTTACAAATCAAAGGCCCGACTGGCTCTTCTAAATAAGCGCATGCCGACATGCCGCAAAAAGCGCTTCCATAAAAACGCATCGCACGAAGAGTGGATGAGTTCAAAGAAGATGTCCAAGGCAGAAAAGGGTCCGAGGGAGATCGAGCGAAGAGATCTGATGTGTATTAAATTTTCGATACGCGCGACATTCTCAATATCGACTGTTCTGATATTGATCCTGACAGATCCTGACTATAGCGCAAGATAGCCGCCGCAAGTTCACGCTTTGTTTCTCCCGCTGATACAAAGTTGTTGGACAATTACACGGAGGAAAGCGCGCGAGTGTGGTAATTTCCTGCGGGATCCCAATGCTCCTTGAACCGCAACTTTAAATTACAATTTCATCGGCACGCTACGCCCGCCTTTACAGTCTCAATTAATTGAGATTTATTGCATCATACATATCGCACGTATGAGTTATGTGGGTCAACGTTCTAACGCACAACGGCCGCGAAATCAGTAGGACTATAATGGAAATGGAAATGATCGGAATAGCAATGGCGAGACTCTCGATCGTTTATGTCTGACGAATTCAATCGAGACGTGACGACAAGTTTGTAGTCCCGCGTTAGGCTGGCCATTAGTCTGCATGGGGACGATCATTCCGACTAGATTTATCGACGAGAATAGAAGTCTAGAATAGCACGATCGTTCTTGAGATCGTTCATCTTATTAATTCCCAAACGCCTCGACGACTGAATATTATTTCAGGATCGAATCTGATCTGAAAGAGAAATCTATTTCCGTCCAACTTCAATTACTGCCTACCAAATTAAAAGCAAAATGCTAATTTGCAGAAATACGAAAAGTGCAAAGAAAGAGATTCATAACTAGAAGTTTGATCTCTCGAAATCGGTGACTTTGTGAGAGACGAGTTTCTACGAGCTCAATTTCACTTTTTTTTATTTGCTTTCGCTTTTTTTATGTGGAATTTCGCGCATCCACGACAAGATAATGACGTAGCTAATGACAACGAAATTGGAGACACGAGGAGATCAAACGTGATGATAAGTACAAAGTTACATATCGCGATTCTCGCCTCGGCGCGAGATTTCGTATCCGGTTTCAAGTATCCGGACGCACAATCCTTCCGGCGAGGGGGAGAAAGAGAGAATGGTTTGAGCGACGCGATAGTATCCCGGTAATATCCCGGTGGAATGCTTACGTTAAAGCGCCGTACATGGCTACGGTCGCTTACGCACGTGGCATAAACGCGTGGCAGCGCGTTAATTCAACGGCGAGGAGCGGTGAAAAGTTTTACGCTGGAGAGATATGAATTATTTATGAATAATTATTTAGACGGCGAGCCATCGTCGCAACGGAAGCGCCATTCTCGCCCGAGAGTAAGCGATAATGAAGCGGAAACGGCAAAAGGCGAGGTAATTTTACACAGGCGTATCGCGAGCGTCGCTCGGGCCAATTTCCATAGCCGGTTCGCGATAACGGAAGTGCGGGGATCACCTAGTACGTCCGTGTCGCCCGGGTAATTCTCGGAATTGGGATCGGCCGGAAAAAGATGCAGACCCTCCACTAGCTCGTAATTCTTCAGGGTATCCGGCCTGACTCCGAGCTCCTGGGCCATCGTGTGAACGTCTCGGTGCAAGCGGATCCTCTCCTGCTGCAGCTCTTGTATTTGCAGCCCCTGCGATCAGGGAAAGCATGTAATTGTAGACACCCCATCTGCTAATAACGCGCGTGCGATGCAATCACGAGTTAAATATCGGCAATAATAATGGGATAACACGCGGCGGGAGTCTCGGAGAGGAGCTGCTCCTTAGAAGCGTTGTTCGCGTTACCTCACGTTATCCTCGTAACGGTCGCTACGTTATTCCGCAGCCTCGGCTGAGTGATGGAGCAGCGGCTGATTTTCTTTTCATGCGCGATTGTGTGGTGATTATCATAATTACTATACTCGGCGATATACCAACCCTCATGTAATTGTGCAGCCTGTACATGTGAGGCGGACTTTTCACAGGATGCAAAGTAATGGCACGATGAACCTCCTTCTTCTTGAGATTTCCGGTGAATGCTTGGGCCCCGCTGCTGTTGTGATAGAGAATGGACTGCATCTGCAGCATACCGTCGCAAATGTATCGTGAGTGTCGCCGATTCTCTGTGCGTGAGAGAAAGAAAGAGAGAGAGAGAGAGAGAGAGAGAGAGAGAGAGAGAGAGAGAGAGAGAGAGATCGTCACCGGAAGATCATTTCGTCTGCGTCACACGATGTATATTTCGACGTATGCTAATGACATGCTGACTACACGCTAACGAAGCGACCTTGTTCTTCCTCGTAATTTAGCGATACCTCCGAAATTTAAGCAAATCGACTTCCACGACCGCTCCGAAGCGAGTAATTAAGACGTAGCGGACGAAGTCTGCTGTCTCGAAATTGACGGAGCAATATAGTCGTTTATTTGATTAACGATGTTCGATCGTCCGGCTCGCGGCCGTTCAGCCGGCTCATTTTCAGCCGAAATTGGCTCGAGCTGATCATTCCCTTGAATCGCGTGCTCGCTTGATCATCACGACAATGGCATCGCGTCTGTCGATTTCGAGCGAGCCGCGCACACCAGCTCGCTCCGAATGCATGTCTGAATGCACGCACGAGCGGGCCTCGGTAAATGGCAATTAGCACAAGCAGAAGCGGAGTTAAAGTACGAACTTCCTGCCTGTGTGCAGTGCGACCTATAATAATTATTATTAAGAACGTCGTATCTGTCGCGCGGTGTCTGGACCGAAACGCCAAACCCGCGGCGCAAGTGCTAATCAGCACTGCACAACTGGGTGTGGTGGTTTCTTATTTCACCGTATTACGCCTGCGTTTCTCGATGCCTCGGCGACAAGCATCTCGGCACGTCGTTTGCGTGACGCCTGTATAACATTTATTAAAGTTATTAAAGTGCCTGTAAAAAGCCTCTTCGGGCCTCTTTGAAGCTGATGAAGTCTTGGACATCCTTGGACTCCTCCTGGTCCGATATCAAACTCGAGGCTGAATTAAAAAACTTGAGACACTTCAAGTATTTCCCACGGTGATCCCACTTTCTAAGACCTTACAACGTAATTCTATTTCTTTGCTCTTATCGGTCTCATAATTTTTCGCTCGTCTACCGACGAAAAATACGGGTCTGATTCGTTGAATTTCTTCGGACTCTTTTCCCTCATTTTTGTGCTTCCACGAGACGTTTCGCACGCATCTCCGCTTCGGACAACACAATAATCCTCCTCCCACTCCTTGCCAAATTACTCAGTCGAATATAAAACCGACTTTAATCGCGTCGCCTCCAGGGGACAGCAATTTCTCTCGGAATTAACGCGCAATATCCCAGCGAGTTTATCGATCCTCCTCGCGGTCGTAATGGACGACAAAAGGCACTATAACGCACGCGTGACCCACTGGCGAGCTCGTAAATCCCTTATCGAATCTCGCGCAGGCTCCCGATCGATCAGTCAATCAATCAATCAATCAATCAATTGCAGCGCGCGCACTGGATGTGCAAAACTGACCGCCGGTGAACGCCGTGCAAGCGTTGCATGCCGCACGAACGATTGTTAAGTGTTTCGACCTTACGTCGAGTGTCAAGACGAGAACGAATGGTCTAGCCAGTAGGTTAGCAGGGTACGATTTGTTCGGACCTAACGAGTAACATCCTCATCCGTGCACTTTACCTTTCGTCCGTTGCGACTGTAATACGACAACGCGAATCGTCAGGAGCCATGCGCATCCACGCAAGTACACTAAGCCTTAATCAAGGCGTTCATCGCTTCAGCAAGATTCGCTGGTCTGCCCAATCTCTCGCTCGATTTGCATGTAACGCACAATAGATACGTGATAGATCAAGAAACGATGAGGAAGTCAGAAGAGATGACTGATTAGCCGAGTAGTGAACCGTCATGATGGGTGCGTTGGGCTTCGTTACTTTTTGCACGAATCTCAAGATGTATCTCGCCTCTTGTCTCTGAGAAGCAGGAGAATTCTCTCCCATTTTACGAAAGGGATGCATTCCAGAATTCGCGGAGAAAACAGCGGCCAATTTTCCTGTCCAAACACGACGCGAGCGATCGGAGAGACTACAAAGTTTTGACCCGGCGGGTATTTGAAGGCTTCGTCGTCGGGGGCGAGAGGGGCTGCTCTTCGTCTGAGCAGTCACGTGTTTTCTCTGGTCTCATTCGGAAATTTGCACCACGCGCTCCGTTTACGGCTCCCGCGTCAATTCTGTTCAATTATCATGACGTGCGCCTCGAAGATTTAAGCACTCCGTGGCACAAATTGTTACTTAAGCGGTACGACCTAATACGGCCGAGTACCAAGATGGAGAAGAATAGCTCGATCTGGCCATTGGGTTAGCAGGGTACGATTTACTTACTTAACGACTAACATCCTCATCGCTGCGCGTTGTGTCTTCCGACTTGAGGCCGACCTACCTGATGCCGCGAGCGCGCGGCTCGTGTGTCGCGTTCAAACCGACGACATGGTCGAGTTGTGCGCGCGATTTTATTACGAGACCGTCGCTACGTCATTCCTGATTAAGTTACTCAGGATCACGTAATCTTGATCGTCTAAGCTCGATCGGCGCGCAGGGGAGGTGAAGGGCTTGACATTAAGAAACTCCTCGAGCGCGGGCGACAGTTCGGGCGACGATCGTGACATACACTGGCGAATTCTAAGCGGGTTTTGGGGTTAAAACGGGAGGGGGTTTTTGGAAGGGGGGTTCCAAATTGAAAGAAATCATTCTTACTAGATCTGTTTAAACAGTTTAGGTAAAATGATACAGGTCAATTAATACAAAGGCGCCCGTGAATCAAATCCTTATGTCTAGGATTCACTGCATCCACACTGTCCGATTTCTGATATACAATGTCCGCTGTTGTTTGCTGAGAGTCTATTAATGATTATAAAAAATCTCAAAGCTACAGCATTATTATATTTACAATTTTATTAAACCCCTTCCCCTCCCCCCTATTATCGACGTCAGGATCCATTATATTGGTGTCCAAGTAATGCCTCCATCATCGCGGGATGCCGAGATGATCGTGCTGGGGGACGCGATATTGGAACACGTACGTGTGAGGAAAACACTTCTGGGAGCGGATAAACCAGCTCCTAATCCGCCGTGCGTGTGTGTTAATCAACAAATCGTCACGCGTCACGCGCATACGCGACTCGTCCGTGTCGCGGCTTCGAGGAGACGAGCAGCAGAGGAGAAAAGAGGACAATCTTAAAATAACTTTAGGATCGCGTAGGTCGCGGAATGTATAAAACAATCGCGCGGTTCCCGGGATTCCGGATGTAGAGGAAACTATCATATCTGCGTTTGGCTATCTTACGATTAGCCATTAAATGTTACACGCATTGAGAAAAGGAACGCATTGAATCGGCAGCGAACGAACCCGGCTCGGTTTGCTCGGAAGAAAGAGAGGACTTCTGCATATTTTTTACAAGTCAGACTCGACGTCGTAAGAAGCTGTTTAATCTGTCCTTTTCGTTCCCCTGGAAATTACCTGGAAGCGACCTTGTACACAGATGGAATATCGCGGTCGTGTAGCGTCGTTGAGGTTTCATTGAGAGCGCATTATCGCGTGTTTGGTTAAAGTATTCTGTCGTTAAACACGCGCAAAAGCAAAGCAATGGAAAGGGGGGAGAACCTTTTGGCAATCAGCAAGGTAGACTTGTTTAACGTGTATTTTCGTTGTCTTACGATAAGATAAAAATTCACGTAAGCTATCTGCGCGTAACGTATCGCACCTGCTTTGCGACGATGAAACGAGCGAATCGATAGATTCGCACAGGAGAGAGTAAAAGCGAAAGAATGCAACTTTCGTGAGAAAAGTCGCTTTCTTATTGCGCTCCTGTTTATTCCTTACATCCGGTCGCATTATCCGCCGTGCAATGATGAAGAATAAAAATTACCTCGTAGCTCCAAGTACAGGGGATCCCCGCGTACTTCTTTACGCATCTGCCCAATTCGACGTCCTCGTGCGTGGTGTACAAGTGACGCAGGCAGTACTTGATGTGCGGCACGATCCTCCTCAGGGTCTCCCTGGATAGCACCACCCCCGGGCCACCCATGCAAAAGTTCTCGTCGTAATCCAGCGACAGCAATCCGAACTCTTCCGAGTTACCCCTGCCGGCCTGACCGATGTACATCGCTCTTCTGGAGTCGACGGACCTCAGCAACTTCTCCAGCCGGTCGGTCCTCACGTATACGTCGTCGTCCGCCCGAAGGAACCACTCGAAGCGATCGCCAAAGTTGCTCCACATGTACTGCAGCATCATGAAGGACTTCTTCTGTGGCGGGTAGGTGTCGTCCACCCGCGGGAGCGGCACCAGAGGCAACTCCGGGCAGTTGTCGGGCACGGTGGAGGACTCGGACGAGAAGAAGGCAATCTTGCCGGGTAGCTCTTTGCCCCAGGTCTCGTAGACGGCCTTAGCCCGCGTGTCCAGGTACTTCTGAGCCGTCATCACGCCCACAAACACGAGACTCGAGGTCGAGCTGTTGATTCGCTCGTCGTCCTTCAGCCTCGGCATGTTCCGAGCGGACGCTCTCGGCGGCGACCGCAGCCCAGGCATGGAGGTCCACATGGCGACCTGCTGTTGCTGATTGGAAACGATCAGACGGTAGCTGAGTACCAGGAAACCCAGAAGTAGACCCACGAAGAGGCCCAGAAAGGCGCTACCCAGTCCACGCCGTTTACGCATCACTGGATACGTCACCTCTCCCATTTGCGCTCTTCTTCAGGGGTTTCTGGATCTTCGCTCATCCTCGTCATGGTGGCCGCGATTACCAGCTCGGCTGTAGCAGCGATTTGTCCCGTCGGAGAGTTCCCTCCGGCCAATCCCATCGCTTCGCCCGCTGCTAAAACCAAGGAACTTCCTTCGTGGTGCGGACGAGAGCCTGCGGGCGAGATTCGTTCTGCGTTACTTCAGCACGACGGCTTCAAACTTTCGGGAATGATGTTTCGGAAAACGCGCTGATCTATCCTTATATCGTGTCATTAGCGCGCGCGTACAGTCGTAGATTTTAGATTTGACGTAAATCAGTTTCTCTCGGAAAGCACCGCTTCTTCGCGGAAACGAAGACAGACCGTCTTCAGAGAGAATTACGAAGTGTTTGAGGTCTTAAATAAATCCACCGGCGCTGGACCCTGATCCGTGCGTTATTCGCAAAACAAACTTCGGTCGCCTGGCCCCCAGTCTCGCTTCGTCCGAAACTGCCTCTTCATCGATTAGTCACGCGTCTTTTTACGAGAGAAACTGGAATCCAGCTGTTCCCGCCGGTCGATCGACCGTCAAACGATAAATATTCATGATTAGCACTTGGCGAGAATTTCTAATTTATAACAAGCCGATTCCGGCGGACCTTGCGCTCAACTCACGTCGAGCTCTTCCTTCGTGGCGACGGAAAACGTCATGTCGTCTCGTGTCGGCGGTCTCGAAATGACTGAAGAATGTGCAGGAGACAGATGCGCACGGCGGGTAATCTGAGAATAAAACATGCGACATTAACGTTCGCGAGAAGTCGACTTCCCCAAAGTCGCGCGTACGCGCGACTTTGGGGAATCGAGGTCGCACGCGTGTTAAGCAATAAAGACCGAAGCCGCCAACGCGTCAGCAATTAATACCCAGCCATTTTTCACCATCAGGCACCGTCAGGCGACGTGCGTCTGATTGCGGTACCAATCACGCGATGATGATGCGAGTCAATTATCGTTTTAAGCGGCATCCCACCGCGTGAAAATTCGACAGACATTTTCCCTTCTACTCGAGACGAGAGACAGAATCGCGATTGTCGTTTTCTTCAACGCCGCGTTCGTGTCTTCATTTTTTTCGAAGCTTCAATCGTCGCTACTCGATATCTTCCACGGATGAGATTTTAATGTCTCAATGTTAACACGACCGTCACAGAGGCTCTCTCGCTTCGCTGAAAGTCGTGTCAAGGATCGTCTCAAGGATACAACCGTTCCTCCCGAACAGAAGAGCTCTTGATTTTTTACATCGGGGCCGCCGACGATTATCGCGAGACTTCTTTCTGCCTCAGCGGTCGTAACGGTAAATTTTGGAAAAGAGTATATTATTCGCCGGATCAAGAGTATCTACATATTTATTCTTTTCGGTTCGATTCGACGTCTGTTGAAGATATAAGAGATATCGTTGTATAAATTTGAAAGGTTTCTACAAGATGCGATAGTCCTTATAATCGCTTGTTTTTCACCGCTCGTTCGAGTGATTAATTCGACGTTGCGGCGACTCGCCGGTGCGGACACGCCAGCGTTGGCGGGTTCCGGAAAAATTTCCGCATGATTGGCGTTTCGTGCACGGCCGTGCGACGGCTGTGATAATGAGAATGAGAACAAAGCGAGCACTGTGTGTGGACACGTAGAAAGTCATGAAATATATGGCAAACGCGAACGCTCGGAAATGAGAGCCCAGCGCCGTTACGAGCTTTTCCTCTACGGCGAATTAACCGTACGGTTCTGTTATTTTCACGATCATATCCAGGAATGTATGTCCCGCTTGCAAATCCATAACGGATCGCTCGCGCTTCGCGCGCGCGCGAGAGAGAGGAGAGAGAGAGAGAGAGAGAGAGAGAGAGAGAGAGAGAGAGAGAGAGAGAGAGAGAGAGAGAGAGAGGCGGCCCGCCTCGTCTGCAATTAATAATTGATTTTATTCACTTCCGTTACGCCAAAACCAACGCGGTCACGCGGTTTTTCCTCCTCTTTCGCCGCCTCACGTTCACTCGGCCAGAATGTTCGCCAAATGTGTGCCAGTGAAAGATCTTCCCGCGTCTCTCTGTGAGTGAGCTTCCATCAGCATGGCAAATATTTCGTATTACACGGCATATATTTGCGAGAATTCTCCGCGGACACGCGGCGAAGATCCGAGCGAAGAGCCCGAGCAAACGCTGCGCCCCGTTCGTTTCGCACATCCTTCCTGAACGGTGTCCACGTCGCGTTATCTCTGATTTATTTCCCTTAAATCGCCGTAGACAAAGGACTCGACCGGCACTAAAACCGGTTCCAGGTCAGCTGACGTGCGTGTATGCGCGCCGCGACAAAGTGGTATCGAACAGCGGACACGCTTTTCAACGAAACTCGAAAGGCAGATCCTTCCGGCTCGCGGAGTCCTCCCGATACTCGGCGCGACGCAAAATTCCTCGCGAGGTCGCGAAATTTTTCTAGCTCTTGCCCGAGCATGACGCGCCTAAACAATCCCCCGTTATACGAAAGCCGACAAGGATCTCGCGCGAAATCCACCGGGAGCGCGATTCTTGAAAATGGCGATAATACAGTTACGCAAGCGGGTGGATAATTAAGCTCGATAGAAAATACGCCCCGCTAATCCATTATTCATAAAATCGCGTTCCGTCGTTATCATCGATTGTTTTCGAAGCGGCGGTGTTCGCACAGCCGCTTCCTTTCCCACGTGTTGCACGGAATCATTAGAGAAAAAATGCATGCTTCCTCTTTGGAATTCCGTGCGAATTCAGTAAGTTAACTTGCACGCACACGTGCGTTATCACGACGCGAGATTCCCTCGCGATTCGCCATCAGATCGCTTCACGCGCGCAATTATTGAATTATTCGTACGACGCGATTAATCATCCTCCCAATTACACCTCTCATCACGTCCCCCTTGCGCGACTATCTGTCTTTATCAAAGGACGTCCGTATTTCGCGTGAAAGACGAAGACAAATTCCCTGAATTCGCTCCGATATTTGCGACCTCATTGCCGCCTCATCGAATTGCAAATCGGACGCACGTCTACGAGAATCGAAGCGACCAACCGCGTCATCGGCGGAGTCCGTCGCGTCGCGAGCGCTTTTTCGCAAGACGCGAATTCCAGGTGCGCGTTATCGATTTCGCAACTCGCTGAGCCCGCCAAGTCGCCAAAAGGTGATAACGCGGAACGATCGCTTGCGATTTGTGCGAACCAGCCGAGGAAGGCCTCGCGAGGAAAGACGCTACTGCGATACCGAGAATGCGTATCGACTGTCGTTACCTTGTTCCACGTTTTTCTTCCGTGATTTCCGGAAAAAGAGGGCCAGTTAGATCCAGAAGAATAGTCACGCCGGAAAATCGAACTGTCGCTGTCTCGCCGTGGCCGCGTCCAGGAGCGAGTAGCGACGTGGTAATCGCGATTACACGCACGACTCCTCGAATCCACGAAATCCCGGTGTTCGTCCCGTTAAAGGATACGCTTCGGAGTGACGTGTACGGACGAACGCACGCACGGAAGGCGGGAGAACCGGTTTAAGCCGAAAGTCAGAAGCGAAGAGCGCCGCTAGATAGTGCACGTCGTCCGGAGCACGACGTCTGGTCTAGCTGATTCAAACGGGGAAGCGACGGACATGCTACACCACGTGTTTTTCTCTCGCGAGGACTCATCAAATGGGGCTCACAGACATTTGCGAACGTGTCCGAAATCGAGAGCAAGCGCACGTTCTGAAAATCGCGCTTCTTCGATTTTTCCCGTTCTTCATGCGCTTTTTCGAATTGCTCGAGACAAGGACGATCAAGTTCAGTGAAGACATTTTGAACTCATTGTGACATTTTGAGGAAATTACGTAAAAGTCCAACTCGAATGTATAATAATTATAAACGTATACAACTCGACGCTAATTGATGCATCAAGTTGATGCAAAAGATTCGTCGCTTTTCCGTGAAATTCTTCCAGAAAGTTTGGATACTAAAAGAGAAAAGGAAGTCCTCGTTAGATGTCTGAAGAACCATCGAGATGACATTGCTCATTTTGTCAAAATTATCAATCCTTCGAAATTGAGGGAGTTTTTTACTTCACGGGCACGACGAACCTCTCGCACCAACCTGACACTTTAGAAACTACAAAGAATATACACACATGTAAAAGCTATAAGTATAATACACATTTCTTCGCAAGAAAAACGCTCATGAACTTCACGCAAAAATAGATTCACATCGCCGGCTAAATTTAGCGCGTAACCGTGTCAGCTATAAGTTCTTTCACCAGCAAGAGACAAGGTGGCTCCTCGTTTTTTCTCGTTCCGCGGAGACGGTTTTTGAAAATGCATTTTGCAAGCGACAATCTACAGTGTCACAGATGCTGAAAGATTGTATTTCAACCGTACGAACCGCTCAAGAGCGGTCGATGGCGTCACGTAACAAAACGACCGCGGTATCTGGAAACGCGTCGCGGTTAGTCAGCCGCGTACGTCGGTTCGCATTAACGCCATGGTGAACCGTGTGCTCTCGAGATCGAATCTCCGGAAAAAGAGAAGACGGCAAAGAGGAAAGAGAGAGAGAGAGAGAGAGAGAGATAGAGAGAGAGAGAGAGGAAGAGAGAGTTACAGTCGTTTGAAGGAAGCTTTGAAGAGCGCTGAAGAGCTTTCTTCACGAGGAGACGTCGCTGTTAATTGTTCCCACAGACATGCGGAATCATTCGACCGCGCTGACGGTGCGACCAGATTGTCGCGGTCGTGACTGGAATCGAAGAGCAAGACGATGAAGACGACCACGACGCGGAGACCGTTCGGTCGACCGGTAAGCTGGACTGCGGTCAGAGTCATCGACTCCTTCACGAAGCGACACGGGCCACGACGAATCGCCCAGTCATTCGTTGAACGGCCCCATTTCATGCTCCGCTAGAAGTATTCCCCCGTGGGAACACCACGACGGCCCCTTTACCAAATTTAATCTTATCGCCGGCGCGCGCTCCGCGTAGACATTTGCAATAACTCGATTCTCTCGGCCGGTGAACTCGCGTGATCCGGCGCGATTGATTAAAATCTCATCGTTACGCTATAAGTGAAAAATTACAGCTGTGCGACGACGAGTCGCATGAGAATCAGCGTATCGAGTGAAAGTGATGGTTGGCGTCGACACGATAACGATATGATAATCGCTCCGATTGATTGCCCAACCAGATAATATCGGAGAACACCAGTCGATATCAGGAATAGCAGAAAAAGAGTTGCCGGTAAATTCCTCTGCCTCGTCACTCGCCGCGCTTCTCGTGGGAAGACACGACGGAGGCATTTAAAAGTAGATCTTTTTTTCAGAAGGTGGCGAGAGACTTACTCTCCGGAACGCCAGCGAACGTTTCTTCCTCGAATCCACCATCCGCAGCTTCTTTCGCTCGCGCTTTTTCTCTTGCCTCTCTTGCGACGAGGAATGCTGCGTGTGTTACATTTCACCCCACAACCACAAACTGCCACAAACCGCACAATCGACTCCGCATGGGTTCACTTACGGACAATATCTGGTAAATGAGATCTCTCTGAGAGCCTCTCTCCGGACGATCACAGACGGCTTGCCGTCGATTGTTAAACCGACGCCGGAAAATTTCCTCGTCGAGCGAACCCGAACTGAATCTCGGGTTCGAAAATTGCCAATCGCAGCAAATCTCTCCGTCTCGCGAGAACGGAATCACTCGATCGATTCTCGATCCTGCACTTTTCCGGAGAAGTCCTTCATAATAGAGACCCGTCGGAGAAGACTGAGCGAGACGCTACTTTAATTTAACAAAGTAGCTTCAATAAAAAAAAAGACATGTAATCATATATATTCCAGTCATCGAGTCCTCACCGGTTTCAGCGGAGAGCCGCGCGGTCGACGGAGGGTCACGAGTGTGTGCGTTCGCGCACCAAAAGCGCAGCCGGGGTTTCTACGGGTGCGTGGAAAAAGCGCCTCGCCCGAGCCGGAAACGCCGAGACCCGAAACGAGAGACTGGAAAAACGGCGCCTGGCGGCGCGGCCACTTTTCGGACGAGGGCCGGGGAGGCCCGTGTTGTACGCTTGCGAGCGGGATGATGCCGGCAGCGCGACTGAACGGCGGTGCGGTAGTCACGGCAAGACGGACGCAACAGGCCGGGAGAAGCGAAACGACGTGACGTGACGTGACGACGAGGCTGGGGCAGGCCGAGCCGAGCAGCCGTCGCCGCCGCGACTAGCGCGGTCTCCCAACCGGACACGCAGCGTACGCGGCTCCCGACCTCGGCAACCTCCGACGGCTGGGAACCTTCGCGCGAACCTTCCGGTTCGGCCGCGTCACGTGCGCGTTTCGCAGAAGCGCGAATTAATCGCGGACAGCCGGGCCGAGCAAGCCGGCCGGTGGTTCTCAGGTGCGACAGGTGCGACTGCCTTTTCGAAATTTCCGCCGCGCGCGTGCTCGGCGCGAGAAATCTTTTTTTCTCTTCCCTCGGCCGGGGAGAGTCATCGTTTCTGACAACCTGCGAAGCGGCGGCTTGATCCTATAAGTGGATTATTTGTTACTCCGCCCGCGAGACGGCATTCAACAGGAGTGTCGTTGCTCTGGACTTAATGAATTTGCAGTTGATGAGTGCAAATCGGATTTCTGTCGCCTCTGACAACTACCGTGTGATTGCGCTAAATAACTGTAAGTTCATTGTGTAGCTTCGTGTTTAGTCATGTCCTCTCTTCCCCTCTCTCATTCTCTACGATACTGAATTATTCTATTTAAATCCGCTCCAGAGATCCGCAAGAAAGAGAGAGAGAGAGAGAGAGAGAGAGAGAGAGAGAGAGAGAGAAAGAGAGAGAGAGAGAGAGAGAAAAGGAGAAGGAGAAAGCATTACTGTCCTAACGCAATAGTGATGAAAAATTAAGCGTAATAACAGTTTGCAAAATGTCCAGCAGTCATCGACCAGTACGTTGCCGTGCTCAAACACGATGAGTCATTTCCATTAATCGTAAGCACGGACCTGTAAGCGCGTTCAACTTTTTGAATGACATAGCATGTCTGTTCGTCGTCGATTGGGTCGTTAGAACGAGTCATTAGCCGCTGCAATGGCGGAAATAGATGGTATATTATTATTCGGATAAATATTCAATCGCTCGCGATCGATCCACGCTCAACGATCGACGCGCAATCTTCGGCCGACGATGCACCGAGTCGTTTCTCGTGTCGGAATCTTTAATGAGCCGGAAAATAGCAAATTGGAAGATTGGCTAAACGCGTCTAAGCAGCTCTAACAGCTTCCGCTTTCGATGCTCCGTACGAGCCGCAGCGCACGTTTTCTAAATCGATCATTTCTATCGTCGCGTTCGGTCGCATGAGAATAATTCGTTTGCACGATTGATTAAGCAATTCCGATGGATAATTTTGCGAGACAATGATATCGATGTCAACGCACAGAGTTTCCGCCGCTGCGATTTGCAATCCCGCGGAAATACGTTTGTCTGGTCTAATATGATGGCAAATCTTTTCGCGGAATATTCGAATTGCAAAACTCACCCTTCTGCAAACAGGACGTCCCGCTGAAGAGCTTGCGTGTTCGACGCATATATCCGTGACATCGTCATGAACGCCGGCATTGTTAAACATGCCCACCCAGTATAGCAAGAATCGGCAGAAACTGTCGTTATGGCCGCTATAGCTGCGTGTCTGTAAAGCAGGAACTTCCGTCGAAATAGAGGCGAATTGAACTACCTTTACGCTTCGTGAGTTTCACATTATCTTTCATTCGCCGCGCTCGATTCTTGATAGACCGGAACGATCGGATTAAGACACGAAGGAGCAACGTGTAGGAGAATATGTAGGGCGTGTGCGCGAAACTCGTTAAATTATTATCCGGATCTACGCGTTCAGATCTGTTGATGGAGGTAATAATAATAATGGATCCTAGTAAATCCAACGTGCGAAACTTACGCGCCGACAGCATGCGGGAAAATGAAGGGAAGAAGAACGAGCGATCGAAACCTTCGAGGCCGATAAATCGATACATCTCGATATTGAAAATTGATGAGTGATCGCATTATCAATCGACTCGTAGTCGTTTTTGATATAAATTAATTAAACAAACAATTTGCAATTAACCTAGTACTTTTCATAGATGCGTATAAAAATTTATAATTAAGTATATTATATTGTATATTTTTTATTCGTGCAATGTTACGTAATGTTCATTATTTATGCAAATCCAACGCATGATTTACCGACGAAGTTGCTATACAACGAAACATTTTGCGCGCGCTAAACGATATCTCAAATATCATTCAGCATGATGTTTATAATAAAATATAAAATCACATAGAAAAAGAGAGATAATATTTAAAGTATTGTCGTTCTACCGAATAATCAGCAGCATCGACGAGACACTAATAAAGACCGTTGGTCTTCTGGATTTAGAATACCAGAGAAATACCAGAGAACTCTCGCTGAGCACTAACGCCCTCTTGGAAATATCGTGGATGGAGTGCAAAGCTGAAGTTCAAAATGAGCATAAATTGTAACAGATATGGAGTAATGGGAAAAAGATATCGGAAAATATCAAGATGATAAATAACTATTAACAAATATACACTAGATAAAAATATCAAGTTTAATCGTAATAAACATGAAGAAAAATTTAAGAAAATCACATGCTAACTCAGAACACATTTTATATCAAATTAAAAAATTGATAGCGTACGATAGATATGTCAGGAAATAATACAAGTGACATCGCTCCGGGCAATTGCGAAGCCAAGTGAAAGACAGGTTATCAGTTCTGATTGGATGCTGCCTTTTTGCTCTCTGCTTTTCTACCAAGATGTGAATCCGCCCTTAAAGATTTTTGGCTTTACATCATCTGGTTTATGCTCTAGATGTTTTCACAGCAGTTATAATCCATGCTGTAAAGCCATTTAAATGTATAACCTTTATATCAATCAGAAATAACCTATGTATTGCTGTCAGATTTGTCTGATATGAATATATAATGAGAACCGTTAACTGATATAAAACTGCAATTGTAAAATAATCAAGCTTCAGTAGTTTATGATTGGTCTGTGTCGCTTGTATATATTATATATTTGCTAACGGCTAATTTATATCGAAATCTTTATTTCTTGACAAGTATTGACAGATTTTTAAATTTAGGAAATGGTGCTGACCTCACGTGTGATATCCCGCATCGCAAATAGAGCATTTTGTTACACCAGCTTGAGACATGTTGCTAATTCTAATTCAGATACGAAAGAATTAAATGCGGATTTAATGAAGGATTGGAAAGTGGAGTTACACAACACTATGAAAATTTTGCCAAATTTCATCAGTGAGAAAGAGGAAGAGATTTTATTGCAAGAGATTGAACCTTACATGAAGCGGTTGCGTTACGAGTTTTCCCACTGGGACAATGTTAGTAAGATGTCAATTTTCACACAGAGCACATAGAAATATTTGGTTTATTTCTTATATATTATCGCCTTTATTTTCTTTCATAGGCGATACATGGTTACAGAGAAACAGAATGGAGAAAGTGGAATGAAGATAATTCAGAGATTATTGATAGGGTTCGTAAAACAGCATTCCCACGGGATGTGGCACAGCTCTCGCTGGTGCATATATTGGATTTGTCAGCTAAGGGATGGATAAAGCCTCATGTTGATAGTATCAGGGTAACAAAACGTTGCTGTTACGTTTCGAGATGACCTCTAAGTAATTTTACATATAGATGAAATTTTTTGTAGTTTTGTGGAGGGATTATTGCAGGATTAAGCTTATTAAGTGACAGTGTAATGAGACTGACAATGGTGGAACATGAGAAAGAGTGCTCAGAGTGCTTTCTACTTCCAAGGAGGTCACTGTATATCATGAGGTTTGATACAACTTGTTCTCATGCTTTGCTATTATTAGCTGATATACTTGAATATACTGATATACTTGAAAATTTTTGTATACAATTATGTTTTCAGTGGTGTTGCAAGGTACAAGTACAACCATGAAATTCTCAAATCTGAGGAATCATATTTTGAAGGACAACATATACCAAAGAATAGACGTATCTCTGTGATATGCAGAAGTGAACCTGATCCTGAAATTAGCTAGGATTTGTTGTGCAATTAAGATACCTTACATCCTAAAGATATCCCATGTAAATATCAAATATTCAATCATAGCTAGCAAGAATTATTGCTAATAATAAAGAGCATATCTTCGAGAATCAAGTAGCCAAGGTACACATGAGAAGTGAAAATTTACATCATACAATATCGCTCATATCCACTTAGATTCACTCGCGATATTAAAGGCGAGACGTCTGACTTCACACGTGGAGCTCGAGAAACAGTCTTTTAAAAGCCTCGAACTCCCGTTCAAGCATGAATTTAAATACCCAGGCGGGCACCCGATGTATGTGAACAGCCGTTCACATGATACACGGCGACCGATAACAGATGGTGTCAGCGGAGGCGCGACAGAGCAGGACGCGATGCGCGTCGTCTATACGAGCGTCGCGGGTTCATGGCGGGGCCGTCGTACGAAACATGGCGTCCGCGAGGTTATTGCTATGAGTGCTGCTCCGTTTTCTATTGTTAAATGTGGCATCGTCGCGCGACGTGCGGGCTGACGCGAAGCGTCGTGTCCTCGGGGCGGCGAGCGCGGCTGCTTGAACCCCCCGTGACCCAAGTCGGCCGACCGTAGGAACGACCCGGCGGCGAGAAAAACAGGCCTCGTCAACAGAAAGAGAGAGCAAGGGAGAGAGAGAGAGAGAGAGAGAGAGAGAGAGAGAGTGGGAGAGAAAGAGTGAGAGAGAGAGAGAGAGAGAGAGAGCGAGAGCGCGCGAGAGAGAGAGGGAAAGAGTGGGCTTGTAGGTATACACACCCTGACGCGAGACCGTCGAGACTGGTATTTCGGCATATCGCGGCCTCCTCCGCCTTCGCCGAATTCCGCCCCGCGACCACGGACCATCGAAGATCGTCCTCGCGACAGGACGAACTAGGTCCGTGCGCGCCATTCGCGGACACGCGCCTCAGAATGCCGGTTTCCGTGAAATTGTTTTCACGCACAGGGTGGTAAGAGGAGAGAGAGAGAGAGAGAGAGAGAGAGGGAGAAAGCGAGTCGAGACGTGATCGCGTCCTCTCCTCCTGTTTGCTTCTTACCGTCGCGCAGGAAACCCGTCGCGTATTCCCGGAACATTGTAGCCGATGGGAAACGTATCAATCACGCTAACGCGATCCGATTTCGCATTCTCGTAGTACTTACAAGCGCCAAGCAGGGGGGGAGTGTATCCGATGTAAACCGCTTGCTCCAAGTCCCTGCCTTGTCCCACGGTGATCCAGGATGCGTCAGGACGACGACGCTTCTCGTTCCTGATATGTATCGTCACTCGGCCGCGATAAGAGACGAAACGTTAAATCGCAACTTAGTGTTTTGCGTCGCGCGGTGTAACGCGGTATCGGCGCGTGGAGTCGAGAGAAGAAGGAAAGAGTGTGATTTACGCAGAAGAGAGGAGTAAGGAGAGTGTCGAGCCATATGCCGCCGGCCGGGCTATCGGCGAGAGGCTTGTCTACCTTGATGGACCACGGACAACCGGACGCTCGTCATCGGAGCGAGCGTTACCTACTCTACCCAGAGAATGGCTCCTCACATCCTCATAGTCCAAACACGGCCAACTCATCACCGCGGTATCAGCATAACAGCAGAACCAATAGTCATAACGCTAGGTAAAGCCATACACCGTAGACAAGACCTACGGGAGGTGACCTGAGCAATTTTCATCAGGGAGATTCCTTTTTGCAGTTACAGTTACATATATGGACATACGTCCAGTAACAATATGTCTGACAGCAGCGTTTCTGATACGCATAGCGGTGGAACTGCGAGAACTGTCTCCCAACAGACTAGTCCATCCCACGGTACACATTCCTCTTCTCAGTCACGACAGGACAACAGCACTACTATCTTCACAGCCCTCTTTGATTACGTTGCTCAGGGTGAAGATGAGTTATCTCTTCAGAGAGGGGAGACTGTTGAGGTAGTTCAACTTCCAGGATAATTTAATCTCGATTATTTGTTTCATTGAGATCATTTTGTGAAAACTCCCTACTTGGTATGTTGATTGCAAATAGTCGATTGGGAAACGGCCGATTCAATCGCGACAATGTATTTATTTTAGCATAAGAGTCTGCCAGTGTAAAACACAGTTGTTCTTTACGATAGGTTTTGTCGAAGGACTCGAAAATCTCAGGCGACGAAGGATGGTGGACTGGAAAAGTTCACGGGAAAGTGGGAATCTTTCCTGCGAACTTCGTCGCGGAGGCAGAGAGTATCGATCGAGTCTCGTCGGTGATCGATAAGGTGCAACCTATCGAAATCAATTTCGAAGAGCTGCAACTGGAGGAAGTTATAGGGGTCGGAGGATTTGGGAAAGTGTACAGGTAGGCGAACGAATCGCTTCGTATAGATGTGCAGAGCTATCAGCGTCACGTTTGTTTCAGAAACATTCCATGGAAAAAGATTCTGATATACTGATTCTAAAGTACCGACAATGATTTCAAGACATATACACATACACATACATATCTCGCGATGAAGATAGTGCTCATTAGTAAGATTCCTTTGATTTTTCAGGGGCTTTTGGAAGGGCCGCGAGGTAGCCGTGAAGGCTGCGCGCCAAGACCCGGACGAAGAGCCCAGTGTAACGTTAGAAAATGTACGGCAGGAAGCGAAATTATTCTGGTTATTGAAACACGAAAATATTGTGCAATTAGAAGGGGTGTGTATAAAGATGCCCAATATGTGTCTTGTGATGGAGTACGCCCGCGGCGGCAGTCTTAACAGAGTCCTTAGTGGCAGGAAAATAAGACCCGACGTATTAGTCGATTGGGCGATACAGATCGCGAGGGGAATGGATTACCTCCACAATAAAGCTCCTATAAGCCTTATCCATAGGGATCTGAAAAGCTCCAATGGTAAGACATGTCAACAAGTCGACAATAACATCGGTGAGTCCGTTCCCTTCTTTTCATTCGGAACATCTTTTCACATCGATAGTGTTACTGAGCGAGCCGATTGAAAACGACGATCTGCAATACAAAACCCTAAAGATCACGGACTTTGGTTTAGCGAGAGAAGTCTACAAAACAACCCGCATGTCAGCGGCGGGCACTTACGCCTGGATGGCGCCGGAAGTGATCAAGAAGAGCACCTTCAGCAAAGCCAGTGATGTATGGAGGTCAGTTTTCGATGTCTTTGGGTCTGATGTCTTCATCTCACGAATGAGCGTTTTCGTCGTATTTTCCTTGAGCTGTGTCTGACTTTTAATTCAAGTACTTGAAATCTTCACTCACAGCTACGGTGTGCTGTTGTGGGAACTCCTGACGGGAGAGATACCGTACAAAGGCATCGATACTTTGGCTATAGCATACGGCGTCGCTGTTAATAAACTGACTCTACCTATACCATCAACTTGCCCTCAACCCTGGAGGTATCTCATGGAAGGTGAGAGATTAATTAGACGCGCTGAGAGATCCTTTTCTTCTCAAATCGTGCTTATAATCGCGTACTTTAGTAAGTCCAGAGTGAGTTTAGTATACTGAAAGTAATTTATTATTTAGAATGTTGGGCATCGGACAGTCATGCTCGACCTGGATTCGCGGAGATTTTAATAGCTCTGGAGGAGGTGCGAGATGCATTCGCGGCAACGCCACACGAGTCTTTTCACACGATGCAGGAAGATTGGAGACTGGAGATTGAGCAAGTTCTGCACGGGCTGCGCATGAAGGAAAAGGTATAAGCATTATGACGTTATTGTGTTTGAGAATTACTTGTATCTTTACATTTGAAATTATTCAAAAAATATCGTATTCTCGTACAATCTCTCCTACAAATTTTGTAAGATGTCATTTTCAAACCTTACACGTATACAAATATGTATTACAAAATAAATAATATTTATAATCGTTATTTCAAACGCTTTGCAAAGGCATGCCGTTCTTTAGAGGAGGTAAGACGAAATAAAAAAGTTGCTTAATATATCACTGTTAGAGGAATAGTCGTCCCGTTTACATATATTTTTTATTCTTTCGATAAAAGTTAATTATTGTCTTTAAGTTTCGTAGAACATGTGATATGACTCGGTACATACATATATAATTACGGTGCTCTAAGTAAATTGGCCGTCTGACGTGTCTTTTTAATTTCGCTTGCAAGGAGCTGCGCTGTAGAGAGGAAGAACTGACGAAGGCACAGGTGCAACAGAGACAGCACGAAGAGAACTTGAGGCAGCGGGAGCAGGAGTTAGCTGCGCGCGAGATAGATCTCTTAGAAAGGGAACTCACCGTAATGATCATTCAACAACAGAATACGCCTACGCCGAACAAGAGACGTGGCAAATTCAAGAAGTCGCGATTGAAGTTAAACAAAAAGGAGCCTGGGAGCAACATTAGTGCGCCATCGGGTAAAATAATCACTCTCTTTCTCCAAATTATCGTTCAGACGCTGTGTACAAAATCGATTTTCCAAAATTGATTTAGGTGTAAGCAGCGATTTTATATATATATATATACTCCTTTCTTTAAAATATATTTCGGTGAAGAATGATATATCTCGGTTTGTAATTAGAGATATCCCTGTTTAGATTTTCGTCATACGATCACCGTTCAGCACACGGCCTTGGATCGAGGCAAGGTGAGAAACCCGTCGAGACCCAACAGCCCACCAGGCTCGCCCAGCATTCCAAGACTCCGAGCAATCGCATGTAAGTATAATAAATCCACTTTTGAACGCTTTCAGTAGTACCGTAATTATTGACAATGTATCGTGCAATATGAGTGACTTTACGAGCGATCGAACGTATTGAATTGTAATCAGACAATTTGAGTGTTACACTGTTTGTTCGTGGTAGACACCTTGTACTTTTTATACATGTCAATACTTTTTCGGCATGGTGTGCACAATCATTGTTTCTACATACATATATACATACATGGATACCTCTCCATTTTACTTTCTTCTCTCGCAAAAGCCACAATTACTTTGAGCTATTGTATTATACCATAGTGATACAGAGTATACCATCTCGCTGAGATTAGTGTGCACAATGATATCGTTTGAATATATACAGTCGCTTCCCGAAGAGAGTATATCCGTAAGAAGCCTCCGAGTCGCCTCCGTCGAATTGAGCGAAGGAGAGGAGATTTGAGTAGTTAGTACCGTAGTGAGTAGCACTTTGTTTCTCTTTCTTTCCCCGTCTAGTACCGGCGGACGGAGTAAAGGGTAAGACTTGGGGACCGTCGACGCTTCATCAACGTGAACGCGGGGCTATTATCACCCAGCCGCCGAATCCCGCCTCCCCTGGCGGCAAACGCTGGTCCCGTTCCGCGCCAGATCTCGAAAAGACACCGCTGCGTACAGCCCTGTTGGCGAACGCGCACCGCTCCCCGCTTCTGCAGGAAATAGGTAACCCTACCTCCAGAAAATTGTACTCCTCGGCCAATAACCTGATAGACAATCAGCCGGGATGTAGTAGCTATAACGATATGCCGCAAAACCTCGACAGCATCATGCAGGGCTTCGCGCCCTGCAACATAGGCGAGGACTTTGTCATTCTGGACAACGACATATACGAGTCCATAGTTCTGCATAAAGCCCCGAACGATCTTAAGACTCAATCCTCGGACGGGCCCCCGATAATCAACGACGATTACCCGAATCGGGTCGGCCGTGCGGGTGGTGGCGCTTCCATGAAGGCCACCACGTCGCCCAAATGCCAGAGGCCGCCCGAATGGGAGCACTCGTACTCCACGAATTTCGTGCAGAATGTGGCGTGCACTCTGGTGGGCACCGCGAAGCGGGTCAAGAGTAAGAAACGCGATAGAAGCAAGTCGAAGGAGTCGAAGCGCAGAGACAGTTCGGAGTCGCGCTTAGCGTCCTTAGCCGATTTCTTCCGGTCGCCGTCCGGCTCGCGCAAGAGCTCCCTCAATTCGCCGCGTAGTACCGAGAGAAAGAACTCGGTCACCATCAAAATTAACGACACCGATGGTCTCGAGTCGAGCCCCGAGAATTCCATCGGTAAGACCTCCTCCACCACCTCTTCCTCCTCTCAGCACAAGTCGCGCATATCCAAGAGCCCACTGAGGGTGTTCAACAAGATGAAGACATGGGGCAGCCGGGACGCGCTCGACGACAAAACCGCCACGGTTAAAGTGGAGTACAGTGTCCAGGAGAACGTGATATCCATACCGCAGTTGAGCCGTCGCGACTCCGATCAGGCGAACACGACGGTGCCGAGGTTCCTCGCGGCCAACTCCCGCGAGGGCATCGACTTCGAGAGTCTCGAGTCCGAGTTGTGCAACTTCGACTCGGAGCACTCGAACGACAGCTCCAGGTCGAAGAGCTCGCTGGGGCCGTACCACGAGGTACCCAGGCATAAGAGGTCGCCGATCAACGTCGAGACGACGCCGGACGTGCCCGCGAAGCAGGCCGCGTACCGTCTCGATCACGGCATCGAGATGAATTCCCTCTTGCATCACAAGTCCAGGAATAACGAGTACTTGCGCAGCTGCGACGGCGACAGCGTTGTGCACACGTCCGGTCGCCTCCACGAGGCCGATCGCCATAGTCCCCGTACGAATTATAGTCCAAAGAGAAGTCTGCCCGCGTCTCCCCCGGACACCATCGGGCCCAGTTCCGAGGATATCGACGTGGTGTTCAAACATTTCGCTGCTGAACAATTCCCGCGAAAGAATGATAAGTAAACATAGCGCGCGCGCACGGCCAGAACGGATGTACTCCTGCGACATTGTCGGCTGTCCCCGACCTGCCGCGGTTTCTTTCGACGATAGATACCGCACGCGCACGTGAAAGAGATAGGCATTGATTCAATGATTATTATCGTCGTGATGAATCGCGGCCGATGAGATGAATTTCATCAATGTCAGTGTTTCCACACTGACGATTACGAACGTTTCTCGCGCGCGAGCCGTCATGTTACGCGAGATTCTAGGATACTGTCCCGCTGTTGATTAGATTGACGCACGTGGTATCCATCATTTTAAGAAAGTGCAGTCGATCATGGACACTTTAGATTTGACGGGGGCACAAGTAGAGCTTGCAGCTCGAAACGCATTTCGATATGGCATGTCACCTTTTCTCCACTGCACTTTTCTCCGTTACATGGTATTTTTGAATGACTTCGTACTGACCGTGTGTTTCTATTCTATCGCAGGCCTCTCTGAGGAAAGCATCTACCACACCCGTAAGTTTTCTCACACATTGCCGCAACGGTTGTTATATATTTCAATGATGTCCACTTTATATCCAGCCCCTTCTCCTCTTTTTCTTCATCTTCTTCCGTCTCCTTCTTCCGTGCTTCCATCCGTCACTGATATTCCCGTCACGTTTAATTCCACCAAGACGATGATTTACATTTGCGTATTGTAAAGCTAAAAACGAAGATCTCAATGTAGGCAATGTCTTTTTACTTTCATAACTGAATTTTTTCTTTTTTTTTTTTTTTTTTTCAATGAGCCCTGTCACGTAGTTTATGCTTAGTGATTGTTCACATAGTAATATAATGCATGTATGCACCGATCGATAGTGTTTTTTTCTCATTATCTATCAGTCATTTGAGGTCGATAATTAGATGTACACTTTTCGGACGATCTGTGTACGGACTTCGTGGACGCTCATTTCGCTCTGACTGGCGCGAAGTGGTTTTGCCTCAAAAAAAAGAAAGAGAGAGAGAGAGAAAAGAAATTCGGTGAGGGACCAGATAGGAATTTAAGTTTATCGTACGACGAGAGAATGCTAGCTGGTGCACAGGCGGGCCCTAAAAGTTGTCTCGGAGGATGAAATTGTCTAAAGTATACATTAGATATGTTATGCACTATTTTTAAATGTTTATGCAGAGGGCATGGACTTGTTTTTGTACCCAGTTTTGCATTAATTTACGAATTAATTTATCCTAATTTAAGCCGATGTGATACTCGTAGTCCGAGTAAGCTAAAAATCTATAATGAGAGAGAATATAAGAAAAAAGGATATATATATTTTATATATATATATATATATACACACGCAGTCTTTCTGGTGTTGGTTCTTTTCTGATATTATCTGGAAGACATAACACATTTCTAACAAGCAGATCTAACAGCCCACTACTACGTGAGAGACAGAGAGAAAGAGAGAGAGAAAGAGAGAGAGCGAGAGAGAGAGAGAAAGAGTCACACGCTTCGGCCATTGCCGCAAAGTTCAACTATAACGATACATGTCTTTACATTGGAGCGTTATCAGGTTGTGTATGTCTGCATAGTCATAATTTTTATAACAACAAAGTGAAATCAAAATTATATGGTCATATATATAGTCTATATATAAACATTTATATATAGAAAGAAAGGGAGAGAGAAAGAAAGAGAGAGAGAGAGAGAGAGAGAGAGAGAGAGAGAGAAAAATATATATTTGTTAAAGTAGCCCTCTTTTATCTTGTTGCCTTATGTGCATTTAGATCGATTGCAAATTTATTGATTGTTAATGCAACTCTCAGCGAATTTGTTTCTGTACTGTTGTTATGCCAAAACTTCCGTAACCGTTTCTCGAGAGCAGAGATTTTTGCACACATCACATTCTCAACACACGGAGCCACACGCACATTTGTATTTTAGTGATAGAAATTTTTTCAATAAAACCTTTTCAGTTGGACACATTGAATTTTGTTTTTTCGTTTTGCTGAATTTTTTACGCTCGGTCTTTGGCGATAGAACGAATGTATTCTGATGAAACATTGATTGAATCAACATCTCGTGTAGCATCTTTTTTTTTTTTACCGGTACGGTACACAAAATTTTAGACGATTGCGTGTACGAAAACTTTCACCGACAATGAGATGTACAATGAGATGTAACGAATGTTACAGTTTACAATGGCTCGTACCGCAATTATCGGTCTCGTCACATTTTGCGCTTTCGATAAAAAAAAAAGAAAAAAAAGAGAGAAAGAGAAAAAAGTTACTGTGTGTGTCGATGGCCGAGCGTAAAAAAACGATCCTTGCATGCTTCCAGTAGGATCCTAACTGTTAACTCCAATTGGGTTTGGTCCCTCTCTCTTCCTAAGATCCTAGGCTCGCTGACGAGCAAATATTACTTGCGTGCAATTCTGTTACATTCTATCTCCGACAGTTGCGAGGAACAGGAATCACGCGGGAACGTCCGATTGTGAGTGCTTGAGCAATTTAATCCGACTTCATGTAATAGAAATCTGTTCACAATTGTCTTGTTCCGAATTGACGAGGGCAAAATTCTTAGAGTAAGGATCTCCTGAGGCAAAAAATGTGTGTACGAAACAACTTGCGTGTAATCGTTTTTATCGTCCAACTCATCCGACGGGATGTCTTCAGAGTTTGGAGAGAGTGTTTCACGTTTTCGACCAGAGCAATGCCTTCCATTTCTAAACTCTATCTTAGACGTAGTTGCTCTACACATTGTTGCCAAGGATTACAGTAGGTTGATACATTTCTGTTTCTTCTCAGTACGTTGAACTTTGCTTCTGTCTGTAAGAATTGGCCGAGTCTGCAAAAGAAGATATCATGGAATTATAATTTGGATTGCAACTCTTAGTACTTTTAGAAAGCGCACGTTCTGTTTGAGATTATCGCGCGTATCTTGGCGACGACTTGGCCGATTTTTAAAATACGCCTTACATGTTGTACTTGTGTGGGTGCATTTTTTTTTTTCTTTGGTGTTTGCTCTTAGCTATAGAGATTGAACGTAGCTCTAACGCGCCACGATAATACTTAATATCTTCCGATACGAGCAATCGCTTTACACATGCATGGATAATATAATGATTAATATAAATAATAATTTAATTGATATTAATGAGAGAGAGAGAGAGAGAGAGAGAGAGAGACTACCAAGCACGCGAATTACACGAGCTATCCCGCAGTGTTTAGTCACCGTTAAATAAAGAGCTCCGAGCGTAAGAGTACACGTACGACGAAAACTTATACGTTAATCGGTCGGTTCGAAGCGCGGTAACAAGGTAAGGAAGAAGGCACATGAGTTTCTGCGAGTCGCGAATCCGAGTCGGATTCGCGAGAGTCTGAGCGAACACGAGAGAAGAGAAAACTGCGCACAGTGTGATCCTCGCAAGCGAGATCTCGCGACCGATCTGCTATCTTGACGATTCCACTATCCACGCGAGCGTGCGCTATACCATTGTCACCCCAAACGTGAATGTCTTTTATAGATTATACAGCATTACCGCCCGACCTGTCGACCGACTGGATAACGTCGGATTATCCGCTGAAGCCCGGTCTGACTGGGTCGTACATCATGCCGATGGCCGTTCCTATGCCCACCCTATACAACGGCGAGACGAAGAAACCAAAGCTAAGCATAATAGAGCTGGTGCTATACAACATCGCGGCGATGCTGGCCGGCGTGGCCACCGGCTACGACGTGAGAATGTCGAACATATCCCCGATTCACCCGCGACTGTATCCCCGAGTGAGCGAGTGCGACGAGGAGCAGCCCAGGTGGTGGTTTCAAGCGGACACCGGCTCAAATCGCAACTCTTATCTCGGCGCTGATTACGAGTTCAGCTCGAGCAGCGGCTATCCGCACAACACTTATCACGGACGGGCACACCATTACAGGTAATCCGACTGGTCTCTCGGTAGCACCTAAAACCACCATCGAAATGAGCGGTCGGTTTAGTTTCCCAAATGATACGCCTTACGATAATCATATTTGTCATTCTGTGGAGTCAAGAAGGGGATCAATGTACGAAATTTCTTACTTGGTAAGGGATGACTCCCTCATCTTTTTTTCAACTGAAGTCCCTGGTGTAACTAAGAAGGTACACAGTCTTCCCGGATAATGCAAACTCCTAGAGAACATCTTAAAAAAAGCGAATCTTTTTGTAAATTATCAGTTTGCATTTGATTGACGGATAAGTCTAACGACTACACCGTTCTTACAGGCCGTTCCTAAGTAACATGGGTGGCATAGCGCCTGGCCTTCCAGCGATGCCGGACAAGCCGTTGCGCTTCACGGACTCCCCGCAGCACTACACCAGCAGCACGACCGGCTCCAACGCCCCGACGCCGAGCCCGAGGAGGAAGAGCAGCAGCACCAGCAACGAGGACGCGTACTCGCACGACGCAGCTCGCGTCGACCGGATGGAGAGGGTGCCGACGATATACATGGGCAACGTCGCCCCGTTTCCGGATTACGGGCCACCGGTGTACACCGTCGTACCGCCGGAGTATTATCGTTCCCCCGAACCGCCGTATTACGTACCTACGGAGTGTCAGTAAGTACGAGTATCAAAATATAAGATGCAAGTACATCAGGGTAGTCGATTCAAAAGTTCTGTCAGATAATCTTAAATTATAAATATAGCATAGCTAATATATCCAGGGCTTAAAATCAAGTCTTCTAGATCGCCCGGACAAAAGCTTCAAGTTGCCTCAATTAAATCGATGCAGTAATAATACATTTAAGGCTTAAGATAGAGTCTTCCGCAGCTTCAAATCAGTGCATCACAGCGCAGACGATGAATGAAGAATTTCCCGTTCTTTCAGCGACCGGATGCTCGAGTGCCCCGAGTTTCCACACGCGTACGACAATCCAAGTAGCATGAACAGCCCGGCCAGACCGGTGTCCAGACTTCTGCCTTACACGCATCACCGCACCTCGTCCAACGTCTCCAACGCCAGCACGTCGAGCCAGAGCAACGTGAACCCGACGTTTCGCCTGGAGGACGAGGATGATTACGGCGTGTACTCGCCCGTGCCGTATTATCAGCGACCGTCGAACGTAATCTCCAACTTGGCGTCGACGTACGGCTCGAGTATCCTGAATCACGAATATGGCTCGCCGTTGCTGACCCGCCAGAATTCTCACGATTCCAGCAGCAACTCGGGCGATAGGCCGAGTAACCTGGAGGTGATCACGCGATTGCGCTCGAGTCTGAAGCGCTCTAGTTACTCCTACAACTCGCCGAGCAAGAGCGTCAGCAAGAACAACTCGGGCTCGGGCACGCCGACGAACCCGACCCCGCCCGACTCGCTCACGTCCGAGGACTCGAGCTACGTTTCCGCCAAGGACAGCCAGATCTCCATTGGCCGGGTGCGTTTCTCGCCGGTGACCTTCGACCGCGACGGCGTGCCGCGCGACCACAGGGAGACGCTGCTGGACATTCCGGTGCATGGGCAGAGTCAGGACGTGACGGTGCCACTGCAAGCGAATCGCCGGCTCAACCGAAGTAGGAAGCCGAGCATCTCGGAGCTCGAGAGGGAGTTCTTGTCATAGCACTGGCTTATTTAAGACCGCGCGAAACTCACGTAGGACTGCACTGAGACAGAGCGTTCGTCGAAATGTTCTCTCACTGTCGCTGATCGATGTCTCATAGAGAACGTAGGACTATCTCCTCTCGTGTCGCCGGTTATGTCGGGTCGTGAAAGTCGCCCGTCGCGGTCATCGTCGCTCCTATAATCGAGCCTCGAGGGCCCGCACTCGGTTCGTCGGCGGAACTAGAGAGTCGCGGAACGATGTCGCATGTTGTCGAAGCACTGCCTCTCGCGGATGATACTCATCGGTAGAACAGCGGGTCGTAATCTTACACTAATTTAACTACTCCGGGAAACTGACGACATTCCATACAACGCCACGCGTACAATCCGAGCGCGACTCGCTTCGTTGTAGAGCGTGCAACGTTGTAACGCGCGATTAGGTGATTTTTTATTTCGTAACATAGTGGTATTTGATATGCGTGTCACGATATATATATATACATACATATATATATATATGTATATATATACAGGGTATTCATTTGAAAACTTTTCAGCTAATTATCTCGAAAACTATGAAAGATATTAAGAAAAGCTAAATTACGTGTTCCATGATTTCAAAGGGGAAAGAGAATGGCATTATCAGTTTTTTATTTGGAGGGCATTTTCAAGGTCAGTTGAAGGTCAACTTAATTTTTTAAAATAGAAAGCCTACTTTTTTTATTATGCCTTCTTTTTCTATCAATTAATTTGAACAACTTTTGTCTGAAACATTTTTTTACTTGCCTAATATTTTTTAAAATATTTAAGGAAAACTTGGTGGTTTTCAACATTTAATTTACGATATCTCGCTAACTATTCGTCGTAAAGAAAAAATAGTATTAGACTTTTTTACTTCATTTACTATCAAGAATATATTACTATAATAGTGCCCTAACTTTTGTTAACTTATCGACCTTTGGAAACTTCAAAATTATTAAATTACAAGTTTTAGCTCTATTAATTTAAAAGATTTAGCTTTTTTTAATATCTCTGATAGTTTTCGAGATAATTAGCTGGAAAGTTTTCAAACGAATATCCTGTATATATGTAAGTAAAGGTTGCAATTCTCTGCGCGCGTGTATATTCGAGTCGCATATATTATTATTATTATTATTCCAAAAGTAAATATTCTTCTGCGAATATACACACGGTGTAGCACCGTGACGCCGACTGCTGATGACAAACTCGCTCGAAGTCGCGGAGTCGCCCCCCAAATCGACACCGACTTCGCGAGAACTCTATGACTGGCGGTCGATCGGCGGTGATAGTGGCACACCATGTGTGCAACGATATTCTTAAATAATTAATAAAAGCCGAACATGGAAACGGAGGAGGCATAGAGAAACGGCTCGGCAACTAGAAAAATCCGAAAGAAGCTATTTAACGAAGAGGTAGAAGTTGACGTGAACAAAAACGTATCTCCAGAAATTTTTCAGAAACATCTCGACGTAACCAACTTGGGTCCTTGTCGACCGTGAGAAGCTGCAAATTCCGTTGTCACGATTGGTAAGGACCCAAGTTGGTTGAAACGATATTCTTCTAACAATATGATAATCGGTATATATCGTTGAGTAACATAATAATCGGTAATGATATTGTTGATTAATAAACGCATTGTATCATTCGAAAATGATCGTTCGAAGCTTACGCAGTCTGGCATTCTTCGCAGTTTACTCGATATCGAAACATTCCAGAAGAGCGTTCTCCTCGGCGTCTCGACACATTTCAACGATGTATGTGTTATTAAATGCGCGAAAAGGAAAGTAAGCGGTGCGTACGACTTCGCGGAAGAGAAAGGTCATCGATACGTGTATATATATGTATGTGTGTGTGTGTGTCTATTTGTGATGTGTGTGGGCGCGCGTGCGAGCGCGCATGTGTACATGTGTGTGTGCAATTCTATTTGAAATCGCGGCAGTAAGATTAAACTGGAGAAAACGAAAACATTCTTTTCTTCAACAACGACCGCGTATTAGCGACATTTGCTTTCGATATTCGCAGTCGCATCTCGGTGAAACGAAAGTTAGAAGTAATAGAGAACTCCAGTGATATACTTGTATACATCCGAACACACGTTGCGACGTTGCGTAGAACATTCCAAGAAGCCTTTTCGCGGCAAATCGCGGTTGTGCAATGTGGAATGAGCACTTCATCGGATTTCGAGTCGATTTTTGAGCAAGGAACACACGCTCTACGGAAATCTCGACGCTAGAACTACCGCTGACGACCAACGCGAATCAAATTGTAACAGAGCGGTTGAAATGGCAAGTTCTTGAAAAAATATCAAACGCACCGTCACATGTAAATTCGAATAATTTTCAGAAGAAACAAACCGGTCATTTTGGATTGTACTTGATAGTTTTAGCCAAGAGATTGTCCATCCGATGGATGTTGGTTCCACATTGCCTCAGCGATTGCTCCTTCGCATATTTCTTCTCTTCGCCAGATGCTAGAGTACGTTTGAGTAGCGAAGGTTCTACTTTACTAATTTTCCTACTAGAAAGTATTGACGGCAGTCTCGTCAAATTGTGCGGACTTTTGCGCGTTTTGTGCAACCTGAGCGAGCAATTGATTTTATACACACGCATCGGCAGCTCGATTGTCTATTAGATTGGTAGAGACATTACAATCGTTAGACGGATATAACAGATGGTCCGAGAGATAATGAAGGATCGCTATTTATAATCTAATTTTATGTATTCTAACGGACAGCTATAAAAGCATTAGTTGTAGCTTTATGTACTTAGCTGAGTTTACTCCGCGGTTTTACGTATTAATCTACAGTATTCTCGGCATAATCTCTCTTCTTATTGCAATCAGTGTAACTAGTCATTGTGATTGTATTCGAAGTTGTACTATTGTTAATTTGGTGGTGGCATACGATTCCATTTTCCTTCGTTTCGAGATTGTCCGTAACACGCTACTAAAAAAAAAAAAAGTAATCTCGTCTCCGTCTTCTCAGTTTTAAACGCTACGCACCGAAAGGAAGGAAAATGAGCGTAGCGTCATTCTTAAAACAGTGCTTCTGCTCAATGATACGTTCATCGTCATCATCATCATCATCATATTCTTCGTCGTCGTCGTCGTCGTCGCCGTCATCGTCGTCGCCGTCGTCGTCGTTCTATCGCAGCGATGCACACAATTGGAAATTTGTACACGGTTACACATCCGCAGCTACTTCCGCCTCTTACTCGCGTCGATCGACAAAGTATGCGCGACTGATGAAAAGAGCAATGTTTACCGAATAGCCGAAAGACAAAAGTATCAGCTTCAGTTCGCGGATTGTCGTAGTAGCGATACAACGGGCATGATCTGGTCGCGCCTCGCGCAGCTGTCACGCAGCTACTTCTTCTTCTTTTTTGTATCCACGAAGCAGTAGGTCTCTCCTTGTGCGAACACCACTTGCGTGTCTGTAGAAAGTATTGAAAGCGCGAAGCGAGGCGCGTTGCGAGCGAGCGAGCGCTCGGCTGCGCTCATGAAAATTCATGATACTCTTGCGGATCGTCGTAGAACTCGAGGATCCCTCGTGCACGTAACGGTCGTTGTACATATAGAAGTAAGCGCTGAATCACGATTACTGTTGGATAGCGTAACGACTACTCATACATTCCTCCTGCAGCTCACGCATGTTGTACGACATCCGCGGAGTTTCCTCAAGGAATATCGGACGCTCCGCGGATGTCTCTGCGTCGCGCCAATGATGATTGTAAGCGTTTCGTTTTCGACGCACGGGCCACTCGAAGAGCACACGGCGTTTGACTCGGCTGCACAGGAAAAGATAGCATTCTGTTGCTAAGGAGAGCGTTGGCTTGATTGGTCTTTAACTTTAACGGTTGTCCTCGACGGAGACTGCTTTCTTAATAATAGTGTCTGAAAATATATTCACCGCAGATTTGAGAAAAGTTGAAGATTCTCGATTATTCTCGGGTTCCTTGCCGTGAAAACCATTTGAGAAAAGCGACTCTAGCGCTCTTTTTATACCGATTCACCGCGACTCGAACTTGCCGTTTTCCAGTAATCACCGGTTAACGCTAATTGTCGACGGAGGAATTATATTACTATTATGATTATTTGGGTCTCTTCCAATTCCGGAGGACGTCGAAGAATGCTCGTGTGCTTTCCGCGTGCTCGATGTGCCCTGAATATACACAGACCGGTGAAACAACCTCGACACATAAAATTACAGCTAATTAGAGCTCCTCATAAGAGATACACTGTGCGCTCTAGAGAGCTATAACAAGGTTGTTACGTCGCACCGCCGAGTAAAGCATTCGAAGACGACGCACGTAATCTCTTAGTTGATCGGTATAACGATAATTAGGGAAGGTCCGAGTCCCTTCGGTCGAAACGCCCGTGAAGCAATCAAACTTACTCACGCACGGTCGTCGCATCGTTTCTACGCCGCATCCGGGGGAAATCAAATCAAAACGATCCGCGTTTGCACCTCGCCCGCCTCATGCAGCGCACAATCTCGCGTGCGCGAGCGCCCGCACACGGCTCTCCCCGTGTCGTACGAATGTCGCACCTTTCCCTCCGCACTGTATTCCCGAGTGACGATCATCAGTATTTCGTAGGTGTACGACGCCGCGCGATGTACATACGTAGGACAGGAGAGCGAGCGCGTTGGGCGTGGTAGAGAGGAACTTGCACTTCGATGGTCGCACCGCACCGATTGATTTTTACTCTCGGCTACAACAGAAAGCAAAAGATAAAACGATAAGAACGTAACGTCAGCCACCGCGAGGAGAACAGATCCGGTGAACAACGCGAGGACGCATTCGAAATCTTTCTCAGGCAGAGAAACGTGGACCCATCGCGGCGGATCGGCATGACGGAGTTTTCGCATTTTCTTTTTTCTTTTCCTTTACGGACCCTCCTTGCTTTCGCATTGTCACACGCAGTCGCGGCAACTTCGTCAAGACGCGCGGAATCATAAACGAGGTGACCGGTCCCTGGTTCTCTTTTTTTTCTTTTTTTTCTTCTACGTTACTACAAATGACGTCCCGTTCAGAAAGCATTTAATGGATATACTTTTCTATGCTGCGCGATGGTATTCTCTGCGGTGCTAATATCACGTACTTAATACGTTAATAAGTGACACGTAGAAATTCAAAATGCTTCCAAGATAATCGAGAGAGCGAGAGAGTGAAAGAGAAAAATGTTTGACAAAGTGTTAGAATGCTAATATCGAGAATTGTTCATATAGTAATTATATATAATTTAATTATACAAGAATATATATATATATATATATAACGTTCGACAGCTATATCGATTGTGTAATGGCGTATCCGTCGCCGACAGTGCTAGTCTAAGCTATATTTATTTTTTATATATATAACAAACACCTTTTAGCCTATAGATTAAGGGGGTGTAAGAATCCGATTTTATACTTTATTAGAGAGCATTACGGAATATGTTTGACTCGTTGGACAGAACGTATATAAGAAACGTGTGTTCAGAATAATTGTATATGAGATAAAACCACGTTGTATCATATCAAACATGAATCGTAACCGAGGTCTCTTTATAATATCAGTCTATAATATACGTATCTCTCTGTAAAGAAAAAAGAAGACACATATACGCAACAGCAAACCTCGACAAATTTATTATAAATGTATCGTTCGATATATCGCATGATATGTCGATAATAATATCACATTGCGATGGTAGTCAATTTTTTCCGGATGTTTTCTTAATTAACTATGATTCGATTTTAGACGAAGTTATTCTCGAACACAAATTATCCGGGCGAAACAATGACGAGGCCGAAACGATCGACAGGGCCGAGCGTTACGCGACGAAAGAGGAAGTCTGTTTCTATGCGCGCTCAATAATAAGCAATCATTCTTTCCTTTCGTTGCCCAATAATCGGCACGAAAATGAGAAATTGTGAATTTGTAAGACTTAAAACTGTTCACTCCGACGAAGGCAATCATACGCGCGCGGGAAATGAATTTCTTCTTTCGAGCGATCAGCGATGACGTCTCCGGTGTTTCTTTTCTTCCTCTCACTGTGTTTTCTCTGTCAAAAAGAAACGAAAAAAAAAGAAGAGAAGAGAAGAGAATCTGTTGCGTATCATCATCACCACTACACATGCACTCTTTGATACAGGATATAAATTTATAAATTTTGTGTAGAGAGCGACAAGAGACAGATGCGTGGAACGCGTGTGTCGGAGTCACGAACGTAATGCGCGAAACTAACACCGTTTTTACAGTAATAATACAAAACTCACACTCTCACGATGTAGTCTTTTACTAATTTAGCTAGGTCTAACGAGCGGACTGTTTCAAGGCACTGAAGAAATGCAAATACTCATCGTCAGCCTCGTGGGGAATATACATGATATGACAAGATCCCGTTGCTCTGAACCTGTTTCTTATAATGTCGCATTAAAAAAAAAAGAGAAAAAAAAAACAAAAAAATGAAAGAGAGAGAGAGGGGAAAAAGGAGGAAACGTGTAAATATTTTTACGACGTAAGTTATGTCGAGATTGCATGCCGCTTGCGCGAATTAGCAAATTGTACAATAACACCCACGACCAAGAAGATTAATTATAAAATGAATCGTCTGATCGATGTACACACACACACACACACATTTTTTTTTCTTTTCATACTGTGATAGCTCCTTTGATATTTGTACGCTTGTGGCGAGATCGTTGCAGAAAGTTTAACGTAATATATTTCATAAATATAGAAACGATTCTCTCTATCGACCGCATATATGGGGCTGTCGCAGTTTGGTACATACATATATTCATACATACATACGTACACATACATACAAACACATACACACGTGCGCGCGCGCGCGCGCGCGGAAGACAAAAGATTCTTTTTCGTCAGTATCCTTTTGTAATACATGAGCTGTAGGGAACGTAGAGAAAACATACGGCAAAACTCACAAGAGAGAGGGTCGCAAGCAATTTATTTAAGCATGAAATAACTCTATAGTTTGTAAGTATGTTAATGATAAGCTAAGTGCAATGTGTTCCACGTGTATTTAAGTGAAGAATAATAATGATCGCTTCGGTGCGCGCCTTAAAGTAACGAAAAAAAAAAATCGCGGAACCCAAAGCTTTCGACGGGAAATTGTTCAATGTAATATAATAAACTCTTACCAGCGATCTCTCGCACGTGAGTTCGGAGAAGGAATTCACTTTTAGAAGAGGATTACCCGGGGAAATCTTTCTGATTTCTGACGATTAATATAGATTGCCAAAACAGACACGTATACACACACACACACACACACACACACACACACACACACACACACACACACAGCAGACAGACATGCGAAAAAGGGAGAACGAGGTCTTACAGGACTGTTTTTATCTCTCTATGAACAGCGAATAAAAATGATTATTATATACAGATGGACGAATATTAATTTCACGATGGAGACTTGAGAACTCTTGATTGTTTAAAAATGAAATATATCTCGCAATAACATATTCTGTCTTCGATTCTTTCACGTGATGTCTACTCTCCCGACGAAGTTATCGGAATTATGAACGAACGTCTAGCATCGTGGTGTCAGAATTGCACTAAAATTACTCATGTATTTTTTCAACCATTGTACATTATTCTATAAATATTAACTATATAAATTATAAATAACAATTAGAGTATGAGAATGATAATAATAATAAGAATAATAATAAACTGTAGTTATTATTTTATTATTATATTTTATTAGAATAACTATTAATGTATTAATATTTTATTATTACTGTGACGTCTTAGCGTTACTACACACGATGCACCATATTTGTTCTTATATTATTATTTTCATTTCTTTTCTTATTTTTACAATTATTATCTCATTATTATTATTATTATTATTATTATTATTATTATTTTTATTATTACTATTAATAAATAACTTCAAATAACAGTCTCATGGAACTTGAGTGACTATTTATTGTTTTCCACATTCCTACAACATCTAACTCTTAAATTTTGGAGAATGTTCAATCAATATAGCTGAGCACACTAACTTTTACCGCTCGAGTCAATGATTATGTCCAAAAAACTAGAAATGTGATTTTCTGATGTTACGAAGCAACAAAAGATATTACGAAAAAAAAGTCGAGATGACACCCTGTAATCCATTATTTGTCTGCGTCATGCCTATCAAGCCAATGTCACGTTTGACATAAACGTAGGAGCGCAGCAACCAAATTTCTTGTTTCTACTACATCATATATTATCCATGATTCGGCAATAAGCGGACGTCAAAGAAACGCAACATGGTTACTTACAATTGTGACTGCAAGGGTGTCGAAATTACGGAAGGGATTTTTGGAGAGATCCACGCCGGTGATGAAAGAGTCCTGCCTTCATGATGACAATGGTGCGGTAGATAGCAACAGCGGCATAAAGCTTCCTACATTTGCAGAATCTGCGGATGATAAAACACGCGGCTACAACAGTGAGGGATATTATAAAGAAGAATTGTCTTTAGATGCCGACATAAAAAAAGCCTCTAAGGAATCTCGTTTGATACCAGTAAAGTTTTACACAATGACCAACGGCAATCGTATAGAGATTACCGTCATCACTTGGGGTGCCACGATCGTTTCTCTAAAGTTCCCTGATAAGTACGGCCGTATCGCGGATGTTGTGCTTGGTTTCGACGATTTGGAAAGTACGAAGTTTTACGTGTCGTGTTGATTTAACTTTCTATCTCATCGAACTTTGCTATAATTGAATGAAAATGCGTAGTAATGCAAACAGATGATCGATTCAATGTTCCTTCGTAAATCATCTCGCAATCAAGAGCATATAAAAAAGATGGTCGTTTTTCAGACTACATGAATCCCAGCATCAATCCATTCATAGGATGCATACTGGGTAGATGTGCAAATCGCATCAGAAATGGCTATTTCACTATCAAAGGTAAACCTTACCAGCTCACAACGAATGACGTCAACAAACACCATCTCCATGGGGGTGTAAGTCTGCTGGTCTCTTTATTCAGCATCATCTCCATCCGATCATTGGCGTACACTTTGGCTTTAGACGAAAGGCTTCGGTCGGCGGTTGTGGGAATCGCACATCGACGGCTGCTCAGTCGTTATGAGCTACTTGAGCGAAGATGGCGAAGAGGGCTATCCCGGTGCAGTGTTGACCACGGTGAGGTTCAGCTTAACGTCCGACAACAAGCTGGAGATAAATATTCGAGCCACAACAACAAACTCCACGATAGTGAACATCTCGCACGGCTCGCTGTTCAATCTTGCTGGACATGTAATTAAAATAAAATTTTAGTACACCCCGTTAAGGCAAATTACTTACTGCGACATGACGCAGGACGCTGGCAAGAAAGAACTGCTGAGGCACAGAGTCTCATTGAATTGCGATCGCTGGACCTTCGCGGATTACACCGATCCGATACCAACTGGTGACATCCGAGGAGTTGGAGGAACCATTATGGATCTGCGTGTGCCAAAATTTCTGGAGAGCTGCATCGAGAAGGTAGCGCGTTACTATTCAGATTAATCATTTCAATAGGAAATATATGACGAATTTTTGTGAGCCGCAGGTCCCCCCGGGAGAAGGGTACGATCATAACTTCTGCGTGACGCCCAGTTGGCACGGAGGTAGTGGATATGTTGCTCAAGCCGTTCATCCAAGAAGCGGCCGGTAAGATTCGCGATTGTGTTATTTGATAAACTATATTTGCAGCGATATCCTGCAAATATAAATTAACATATATGCAGCGTTTTGGAGATTTACTCGAATCAACCCGGTGTTCAGTTTTACACAAGCGGCCGATTATCATCACGTACTAAGGTATCGCCAGTTACACCAATAATCGAAGCAATTTATGCATATTGAAAGGTAATTTTACCGTAGACCAATAGTAATATCGGTGACGGTCGGGTTGGTGATGATAAATCTGATAATGAAGAAGAGTATGAGGAAGAAGCAAGTGAAGAAACGAAGCCAGAGGTGATGCCTGCGACTAGACTGCCAAGTTTCATTCTCGGGAAGAAAGGCGCTCGTTACGTCAAACATTGTGCTTTCAGCTTTCAACCACAAAACTACCCAAATGCGATTAATCATGTAGGTGGAGTCATGCCCTTATTCATAGCATTAATTAATTCACATACGAATTCATTTTTTCAGTCACATTTCCCTCAATCCATTCTACGACCTGGCCAGATCTATTGTCATGATTTAACTTACAAATTTGGTATCCAACTGGCCAATTATATATGAGCTATGTATTTTCTAGTTGTTTAAAGGATGAAGTCTGTATCAGAAAGAAAAGTAGAGACATAGGAAATAATATGTGGCGTATATAATATCTACTGTATTATCTGGAATATTAGGGAGAAAAGTGAATATATTTTAGGCAAAATAAAAAAATATATATTTATTTTATTCGATTGTTATAGTTGTGATTTCATTACAAAAGTATTTAATGAGTTTATTGAGTATTGTTTCATAATAATTTAGTAATCTCTTAAATTTACATAACACGAAGCTATTATTTCGCAGATCAAAACTTATTTGGTTCTCTTCGTTGCAAAAAATTTTGCGATGCTACTAATTACAGATCCAAATGATTCGTTGATCTTCACGGAACGTTGAATCCATTGTGGTAGTACTTTGATTTTATGACAATAGCGTTTGTCTAACAGCACGACAGTCGAGTAATCATTTATATGACGTACGGATCGGCCGATGCATTGATTCACTGCTTTCATACAAGAATTTTCATAAAATTTACTCCCAGCATCTGGTTTCTAAACAGACATCAGAAAAATTAAAACAAAAATATCGTAATGTTTTTCTTATTCTAAGTTTCATGATCAAGAAGTTTATATTTCAAATCTTATATACCACATTTTCGTTTAAGTATTTCATCTTTTCTTGTAATTCTAATGACTTGATGTTGGGATATGGCAAGCCAACGACTATAACACATCGACCCAAATCGTCGGAAAAATTTAAACCTTCACTCAATTTGCCACCTGGGAAATAATATAAAAAATTTTAATTAAATAAAATATCCTTTTCTACAGAGAAGTAATATATTCCCATAATATTAATACAGTTTACTTACCAACTACACTAAACAGCAATGATCCATTGCATGGAGATTGCGGATTCTTGATGGAATGTGCATATTGGTCCAATATTACACTTACCTGCAACATAATATGAATCATATATTTATGAAACATTATATATTTATGAAGCATTAATATCAGTCTCTACTGAACAAATATGCAGAATAAATTAAATACTTGTGATGCTAATTTTGGCTCACGATAGATACATTTCTTTGCAGAAATCTTTGATATGACACCAGATTTACTTAAATGCTTAAACACTGTATCTTCAAATTTGTAAGATGGAAAAAACACTATGACTCCAGCTGGTACAATGTTACATAAATTTATCAAAGTTCTACCCAGTTCATCCAGCTAAAATAAAGCAACAATTTGAGTGTCGAATAATCAAACATGTAATAAAATAAAAAAGAACAGAAATAGTAATTGTATTACTAATTTTGTATCTTGACGATTATGAAAGCTAAACTCAAATTCAATTCCAGTAGGACCACGCATCACAACGTTGGATATAATATTTTCTTTAGGAATCACGTGATCGCACGAAAACGTCATTATTCTATCTATCGTAGCACCAGCCATCAGGAATAACTGATCTATGAATTCAGACATTGGCTCCATTGTACCACCAGCTAGCACCACAGATCTGGCATCTTCCACTGTCATTTTTGCAATCAAAAAATTAACGTATTAAACAAAATCAAGATAAACATAAGATAAGAATGAAAAGAATGATTATTCATATTGAGATAAATATTAATCAATATGTATACCAATATCATGAAAGTGTGCTGCAGGATTTAATAGCAAAAATTTTATAATCCCTTGTCCAATAGTGGCACTAGGTAAAACATATATTCTACCATCTAAGCAGCTACTTTTCAGGGATTCCAAAAAGCTTAAGATTGCCATCAAGGGATTGCTCATTGGCTCTTCATTGTTATTCGGTGCATCCGCGACACTAGATGCTTCTTGAGATAGTGCATCTTTATTTTTGATCGAATTTAAAAATTCTGTTATTCCAGACTTCATTACCTTCTGTTCACCAATTTTCACATTGTTACCATACTGCTCGACAAATCCTTGCAGTTTATGAACGAGTTTCGAAGCTTTAACAAATTCTAATAGCTTGAATATGTTGACTGTATCAATCTCTGTAAGTAGCTCGAATTCTTCTAGTTTGTATAATTTGGGTACTATAGTCTTATTGACTTCATCATTAGGATGAGAGTTTATAGTTGCTCCAAAAAGGATTAGAAACTTCTTCAAACAAAAGCTTAGTTGATTTAAGAACAGCACGCTCTTGGCTGAGAATAAAGATTCAAATCTGTAATTATATGCATCTCATAACTAATATTGAACAAATACTTCATTTAATAATTTAATAATAAAATTTCAAAAATAATATATATTACTGTAACAATATACTTTTTCTGATATTGGGACAGTTGACTGTAGCAGTGAAGCAAATTTCTTCCTGTAATAACAGAACTATACATTCCTTCAATGGCATCCAATAAATTATGGGCTTCATCTATAATTAGTACACTTTCTTTTAAATCTATTCCTAAGCTGATCCTAGTATTCCTGTGTAGAATAGAATTGTATGGAACCAAAATCAACTGTCCATTCTGCACAGATTTTCTCGAGCCATAATATGGACAAGTATTATTCTCTTGGCCTTTCTGCACAATTTCTTCGATATCTTGAATGTTTGTTAGTACTTCAGCCATCAATAACTTTTGATCACCTGGTATAAAAGGACAGCCACTTGCAGTTTTTGATTTCTTCAGATCTTTTTCCTTTTTAACTGTAGTTTTCTTCCTTTGTAACTGAAGGCATGTCTCATTAATCAAACTTACATGCTTTAACTTCTTGACATTTTTGTTGATGCAGTAATTTTGTCTAAGAGATAAAAATGTATTAATATAGAGCTAAATATGGTAATAAATGTATCATGCGATACATCTGAAATGTGACATCAAATAGAGGGATACCTTGATGATAGTGGTACCACAGAAATATCCTGAGAATAAGGAGATCTCTGTAATTCATGCACAAACTGTGTCAACTGTGAGTGTGTTCTAGAACAGAAAAATATCTTAGTATTCTTAAATGATGATTCTTCCTTATCATCTTCTTCTTCAGAACTTTCTGAGTTTGACAATGGATCTTCCAGAATAAGATCCTTTTCGGTATTACAAACATCAGAGTCTATTTCTTCTGTTTTACTATGATCTGTAGATTTTTTTTGTGAAATTCTAAATTGTTGTCTTACTTTCTGAGTTGCTTTAGTTTTTGAAGTTTTATTTAATTCAATTATTTTCTTAAACTTTTCTTTCTCACTCTCAAACTCAAGAATTGCATTTAGTTTAGCTTGGAATTTCTGCTTTTCAGCATTTAACTGTATCTGTTCTGTTTGCACAGAAAACCAATCATCAGATGGCTTTTCACAGTTTTTTATTTTACCATCTATCTCTGAAATTACAGAAGATAATTCCTGCTTTTTGTATTTCTCATGATCAACCAGCCATTTCAGTGTGCCACAAATGAGAGATAAAGACTTTCCAGTACCAGTAGGACTTTCAAAAAGACCTAATTTGCCACCTTCTAAACAGTTATAGAGTTCTTTCATAAACTGTTTCTGAATCTCATATGCTGGGAAAGGAAATGGAAATTCTTGTGGAAGTTCCATCTTTATACGAAATTTCAGATTTACAAGTCTATTCTGCTCCTACTCAAATATATATAAACAAGTTATTTTTAGAGTTTGTTTAAACATTTACTTTTGCAAACTAGAGTCATAATTTTAACTTACACATATTACGCCAATGTTAATTGTCAACTCGGTTATTCCTTGTTAATTGAAACTTTTATTCTATATTTTTACTATTCAGAATTCGCAACGTATCGACCACTTTCCCGCTACTCTCAGTGCCGCCATCATTCTAGCAAAAAAGGTTGCATTCCGATATTCACTGCTAGCGCTGAAATTCTCTAGTTACGTGACACAAACTATGTATTTCCAGTACTGGGAGTCAACTTCGAAACATAACCAATAAAAGAACATATTCATGGCGTATTCATGACGGAGTCTACATTTGAAACCATGGGTTTGTTCTTTATAACTGTATTGCTGAACTAGTGAAATAATTAAAATGAAACGACTATACTTTTTCTCATTCTAACTTATTGCACTGGTCCAACATTGCAGCTGTAAAGAACCAGCAGCTGGATTCTGTAACTCGTTATTTTGGAGTTAACGAAACTGTCGTTAACTCCAATAACGAGTTAAAGAATCGCACCACTGTGCTACGATTCTGTAACTCGTTATTGGAGTTAACGACAGTTTCGTTATCGTTGCGCAGCTTTTCTACGGTATACAAAAGCTGCGCAACGATAACGAAAGTGTCGTTAACTCCAATAACGAGTTACAGAATCGCGGTACTGTGCTGCGACTCTGTAACTCGTTATTGGAGTTAACGACACTTTCGTTATCGTTGGGCAGTTTTTGTATACCGTAGAAAAGCTGCGCAACAATAACGAAACTATCGTTAACTCCAATAACGAGTTACAGAATCGCACCACTGGGGCTGTATTCCGTACTCGCGTACTGATAGTTGTCGGTGTCGTAAGCAGTATTGCGCAGCTTTTTTGTTATATGAAAAACCTGCGCAATGTCGCTAACGACACCGACAACTGTCGATATGCAGGTACAGAATACAGCCCCACGCCTGTGAAGCGTGGTCTACAATGGCCGTAAGCAGTAAAGCCAGCGGCACACGGTGCTTGTTTTCGTGCTGGATGAAAATACTGCGTTCTGATTGGTACATTTCCGAAGATGGATGGAAATGCACCAATCAGAACGCAGTATTTTCATCCAGCAAGCAATCCAGCACGAAAACAAGCACCGTGTGCCGCTGGCTTAAGAAATGGACCAACTACGGTTGATTATTTTTGTCATAGTCGACTGTGATTGGTTTATTTCTTACCGCTTATGCTTATTTCTTACTACTTACTGTCATTGTAGACCACGTTTGATCATTCTATAATACGTGTCGTAAGTTGTAAGCCGTAAAGGCTCGTCTACAATAGCTGTAAGAGGAAAGGTCATTCTACAATACGTGTCGTAAGTTGTAAGCCGTAAGAATTGACGAATCACAATCAATTATTAAAAATAATCGGCCATAATTGGTCAGTTCTTACGGCTTACAACTTATGACACGTATTGTAGAATGACCTTAAGCCTATAAGGCTGTAACGTAAGCTGTCAGCGAATGAAAATATTTCATTTCGTGTCTTGCAACCTTACAGCCTAAAGGCCATTGCATGTACAAAAGTTTTAATCGTAACCGTAAGTCCGTAAGCAAATTGACCAATCACAATTCGTATATTCGAGATGCTGGATTGTGATTGGTCAATTTGCTTACGGTCTTACGGTTAAAACTAAAATTTTTTTACGTGCAATAACCTTTACTCTTACAGCTAATGTAGACGAGCCTTAAGAACTGACCAATTATAGCCGATTATTTTTGTAATAATCGACTGTGATTCGCCAATTCTTACGGCTTACAACTTACGACACGTATTGTAGAATGACCTTAATGTGAATGATGCAGATGTGATGATCTGGATGTAGATGTGGATGTGGATAATGTGGATGATGTTTATATGTCTCCTAGGATTGCAGGACGTAAGAAAATTTGGAATAAGTTTTATTTTAAATATATACACACGTTGGGGTATTTCTTGAGTTGATAATTTAAAGTTGAAATTATACAAAAATTGCGGTCGAAGACACGCATATACAGGATGTTTCATGAATTCCTCGCTCCGAGGAATTCATGGAGACATAGAGTGGGTTAAGATAAATATAAAATTCCCATACAATTTTGCAATTTTCGCAATAACATTCGAATTATTAATTACAGGAATGTAACAAATAAGCACACGTCGAGATGATATCGACAAAGCATCGAAGCCCCGCTCGGGCCAAAGCGCAGCGCCCACTTGATGCAGCGTTATGCTGCGACGTTTTTCCAATCAACCATGCCGACGCGCGATCAATCGTCAAATTTCTGTAATTAATAACTCGATAACTCTTACGAATATTGCAAAACGGTATAGACCTTTTATGTTTGTTTTAACCTGCCCTATGTCTCCACGAACTCTGTAAAAATTGTTTTGTATACACATTCGTGTGACAATTGGTCTGTTCTTTTTAGCTGCATTGCGGAACTAGTGCAATAAGTTAGAATGAGACACTATATTTTTTCTCACTTTAACTTGTTGCACCAGTTCAGTAATGCAGCTAAAAAGAACAGACCAACGGAGAGACCGAGTCGACTATTGGTCTGTTCTTTGTAGCTGCACTGTTGAACTGGTGCAATAAGTTAAAGTGAGACAAATATAGGTTTTCTCACTCTAGCTTATTGCACCAGTTCAGCAGTGCAGCTACAAAGAACAGACCATATGGTGCGTGCGTGGTGGGGGAAAACAGTAAAGAACCGTGGACCGTGGACCTTTCCTTCTTCTCTCTGATATTACTTCATCGGTGGTATTAAAGAGATATTAAGGAGGTTAGAAAGTCTCTATATAATCTTCAATCGGCATATCTAGTAATATTCGTACAATAAATATAAATGACAGCCGAATCACTACAGGTTCTCATGCAATCCCAACGAAAACGCATATAGTATAATATTGATTTTACTTACCAAAATTAATTAATATATTAAATTAATATATCATAGTTTTTGAATATGGCGATAAATGTATAATTTACGTGCATTGTACATTTTGATATTTTCTTTTTTCTGTTTTTATTTTTGCGACAAAAATTTCACTAATCAAATTCATGTGCTTTGGTATTTTGATAGTTGATTATTCTGTCACAATGTGCAAGCAATGATGAGACCTCAGCAAAAGTTTATCTAAAGAAACAAATATATAGAAAAGTATATACATTACATCAGGGCACAAAGTAAAGTTATTAGTCATGAAAGAGATGTTGACAAATCAGACTACTGCTGGATACAGTAATTCCTTTATGAACAATAACAACAGAGATGCAGGAACCAGTATTACAAATGATAATAACTCAAGAAGATATGCTATGGTCAGCACAGAATGGATCTCTGCTATCGGTGAAGAATTAGGTATGCATCCACTGCCAGATCCTCTGTTGAAGAGACTAGCTGAAGATGCCTCCTATCGTTTAAGAGAAGTCCTGCACGTAAGAATATAATTTACTTTCTTGCCTGATATATGATATTTCAGTATATATATAATGCTTACAGTGATTATTTTGTCTTCAGAAATGTGTTACAAGACTAAGGCATAGTAAAAAACGACGACTCATGTCTACAGATGTAAATGCAGTAATTACTAGCTTGTGTGATACAGACCCAGTTCTTGGTGCACCTGAATTTATGCCAGAATATCACACAGAAGCAAAGATATATGTACCTAATGAATCCATCGTTAATCTCACTCATCGATTGAATGAACCATTGAATCTGTCTCAAACTAATGTGCCATTTCTTCAAGGTACTTCTGCATTTATATATGTTTGTGATACATATATTTTACACTTGGTTTTCTAATATTTACATCATCTCTAGAGCATTATCCTTTTGTTTCTTAGAATCTGAGGTATGTGACTTGAGACTCACAGAAGCACGTCACAATTATGCTAAACGTGCACTAAAAACTTTATTTAATGGTTCGCAAAAAACTTTCCAGGTAGGTTTATATTTTAATATCTCAGATGAATACAGTATTTATTGTATCATTAATATTTTTGCGTTCTTAGGTTTTAATTAACGACTGCGCCACAAATCCACAATTAGGTGATGAAGGAGTTGTAGACAAATTGATGTCTATTGCCAGATCTTTGTTGATCTCCAATAATGCGCAATATACACGCGTTTCCACGCGAACGTGTCAGCTTATTATTGCTATCGCTAGCAATAGTGAAGCTGTCTATCCATATCACGTAGCTTCGGTAATGAATTGTAAAAACATATGCATCTTTCAAACTTTCTACCAAACATTTGCGAGTGTCTCATTCTAACATTTAATAACAGGTGGACAAATTGACAGAATTATTGTTGGAACTGTTACTGGGGCAGAGTTTCATCAATTCAAATCTGGAGGTGCTCTTTAAAGAATGTGCGCTCAAACTCATGCTTCGGTGGCCGTCTATTGCCGACAAGTAAGGAAAAACACATCTATGATACAAATAACTATCTGAGCGATTAATTTTTTCAATATTTGTCGTCAGATATATACCTGTAATGGAGAGTGTTCTTCTGAAGGATGAAAAGGAGAGTGTTGAGTTCAACAAGAAAAGGATAATGGCTGTGGAGATGTTAGCGAGCATACAGCCGCTCAGATTTTTCCAACGCAAAAGTGAACACGTGCTTTCCGTGCAGAACATTTTGAATCTTTACGCTTCGCCTGGATCGCCTATTTGGCAACTAATAGCCGTTAGTATCCATGCGTTACGTTACTTTGTGTTACACTGTTTCAACTTTGTATGTAACCAACTTGTTTCTCCTCGTTACTCTTTAGTTGGCTATATGCTCCCTCGTAAAATCGGGAAATCATCCGTTGGAGTTAACTGTCTTGACTGAGCATTACGGTGATTCGTTATTACCGTACCTGCCAGCTGATTATAACAATAGCACGAGAAAGAAAACCAGTAGGAAGGCCTCATTGCCCATTATAATCAAAGGTAAAATGAAGTATGTGAAAGTGAGACCGTTGCTCAATAACAGGACATTATGGGATAAACAAACGGTGTTTCCGGACTCCACTCTGAGAGGACCGAGGCGAGAGATAAGGTTCGTATGTGAAATTCAACAAGAATAACCGATGAGGCCGCTCGATATCCTCTCATGTTATGAATATAATCGCAGATTTGCATTCGCTGGCGGCCGTCCGGTCCCACCTAGCAATTTGAGACGCATCAGTTTACGAGCAAACTACCAGATTCTAAGAAGCGAACTTCAAGCCACTCTTGCTCTAGTCGCATCACGCAGGCTCCTCGTGGTCAAAGATAAAGAAAGGAAACGCCACGATTTCTATAATCTAGCAAACGTATCTTTATAAAGTCAATCATAGACGCGTATACGCGATAGAAACATGTAAATACCGCTGCGATTATCTCATTTGTCATCCCGTCCTTTTGTACAAGCGTTCGCTATTTGTAGAGCCTTCTATATTCTCTCCCGTCGTTTAATGTTAAGAGTAAATATAATTTTAAGAGTAATATAATTTTAAGAGCCCGTTATCGCGCTTTCTCTTTCCATGATAATCCTGAAGACGTAGTGCGAATAACGCGAATTAGTCATGTGAAATGAGTATGTACTTCGACTGGTGCCGCAATAATAAGATCTTTTTTAATTTCGTAACGTCTCTCCCTCATTTCGATTCCAATGCACTCGTCCCTTTTGGATCACATCGGATCGGGATCTCGTCTTTGGTGTAAAAATACGCGAAAGCACGCTTGCGTTGTACATTACTTTCCTTCGCAGACGAAAATTTCTTGCGACGTTGACTTATACGTATTGCAACTGGGTGGGAATGAGAACGATGTGGACAAATGAAATTATTTTTATTGCGATACTCGTGGGACTAGGTAGGCGAATGTACTTACGAAACGTACTTTTCAAGTTAGTTGACTCATCTAATTAATCCGCTATCGTTATTGTGGCTTAAGTAGCTTAAACAGAGACAGATAACTGCGTATTGTGATCTGCATTACGATCTGCCGTATCGGATAATGAAGTAGAGCGCGTTTCGAAAAAATTTCTCATCTTGATTATGTGCGAGGACCCTTAGAGAATAAACGGATCCGTGATCGATTAGTAAATTATGTGATCGAACGAACCTTGTACACTTATAGAGAATAAATGAGTATATGATCGCTATGTTACGTATGCTCTTTATTTGCCATAACTTTGAATACGACAATGATGTAGTTATAGATTCGATCGATTTTCATCGAAGACGTGACAGTCGTAACGTTTGATAATTGATATCAATAGTCGATAATAACGACTGTCGGTCAGCTTACTTCATCATCAGATCTATCGATTTCGTATGTTCGTTATTAATAAGCGAATTTTGAATTACCCAACACGATTCCATTAAATATTCGACTGCATCCTGCGTAGCGTAACTCTCTGCTAAAACTAAGATTTCCCTAGTCCACATTTTTATTATATATTTTTTAAAAAATTAACGAGATTCTCACATCTCTCTCTCTCTCTCTCTCTCTCTCTCTCTCTCTCTCTCTCACTCACTCTCCTTTCTTCTCTCTCTCTCTCTCTCTCTCTCTCTCTCTCTCTCTCTCTCTCTCTCTCTCTCCCCCTTTCCTCTCTCTCTCTCTCTCTCTCTCTCTCTCTCTCTCTCTCTCTCTCTCTCTCTCGTGTTCTCATTCTTTCATTCTCTCTTTGTCTCATTTTTCACATACTATCACCGCATAAATTAGAATATAGACAAATGAATATACAATGATCATATAATATTTAGTTTCTCCTGACGTCCATCGCTCTTTCGCTATCATCCACTACATGCGTGTGCCCGCCTTACACGTATTACATGACACCAATGTCGGGCAAGAGATGATACTTATTCGTGAGTAACAAATAACGATCTCGAATACGTAAAAATGCACTGTATTTAATAAGTACTAATACATTTGTATCCGAATAGCAAAATATCTATTGAAACAGATTTTGCAAAGAGTCTGGTACAAATTTTGCCGGCAGCTTGCCTGTGAACATACAACGGGATCTGCTGACAGATTGCAGGCGATAAGAGTCGACATTTGCCGTATAGTAGTTGAAATGCATTTGAACGAAATATACTAATCGACAGATTCAATTCAGTCTGCATCGCCGACTCGCTGTCCGATTATGTCGACAAGCTCTGCCGATAGAACACAAACTTAATGCAGCGGACGCAATGATGCCAAATTCGCCGCAATATCATGCTTGAATCTGGCTGTTAGCGGTTACGGGACTGGTATACACCGCTAATATTTCTCTTCCTGAGATAAATACGTTCGTTTGCGTGGAAAATGTATTAGCGTTTATTTTACATACCTTACAAATGCACAGACCAAATCGTTATTTCCTACTCACCATTTATTACACAAAGAGACAAGAACAAAACGCAAAGTCTCCTTTTATACTTTTCTTTTTGTACTGTAAGAACAATTATTGTCACGCATCGCCTTATAGGACAAGAAAATATAAAACAAACTGCTAAACATACTTTCTTTCGTCTGGACGGGTTGTTTTTCTTTATTTCTTCGTCTTTTCCCGGATTCGCCTCGATCCGAACGTAGAAATGTCGCGTGAAAATCTTTCGAATCGCGTTTTCGCGCAGCGCTCTGAGATACTTCCGCACGAACGTCGCCGGCGCACATGGAAATGGGGAAGCGTCTCGAGGGAGGACAGGAGAGTCTAAACATCATACAACGAATACAAACTTACTAGCACCAAGCACATACTGCACGCAATAAATTAAAGTGACGTATGGAATTTACAAAGTACCCTGGCTTCGCTAATTACGACCATACCTCTAATCTTTTTGTCTGCTGTTGTGAGACGTGTACTCACCGCGGGGGGCCGAAGCCACTGCAGCTTGCCCGGGATTACTCAAATGCACTCGTTGGTATTTAAGTAACGCGGATGAACGAATTACAACACAAACTTGCGTCCTTGCACATTACAAACGATATGATTAAACGTCGAGTCCAATTTCCGTTGGATTCATCACAGTGAGCAACATAAACGATGAGAGAAAATCTAATCGATGAAACTGCTAAAGTGAAACAAGTGTACGTGTACATGTATTTAGAAAAACTTCTCTTCCTCAAAAATCAAAAGTTCCAATATAATTCATATGTACAAATTGTCGAAACACAAATTGACGAAACACAAATTGACGAAACACAAATTGCGGAACGTTCGGATACGTTTGCGTCTAACGAAAGAAGAAAAAAAAAGAAACACGAACTGGAGATTTGAGAATTTTCCTCACCGAAATACCGATATCATCTTCCTCGATTGCAATCGTACGCTATGTCTAAAATCAACTTTTGCACTTGTATTTACAATAAATTATACTACAAAAAAATTTTATCGCGTAAATAAATATCTGCAATTGAAAATTTCACCTTCAACTAAAGAGTCCGCCTTTTCCGTCCGCGTTTGCAACGCAGGCCAATTTGCCGGACAGATAAATCGCGGTCGGTGACTTTTGCAATGTAGATATCGTTCGCCGATTTGTCAATTTTGCGCTTGAGATCACGCCCGAACGTGAAAATCAGCTCGGAACGTTAATATTAACGAAGAAGAGTATACTAGTCGCACCAGCGCGACGAATTACGTCGCCCGAAATATCCGTTCAGGAATAGATGACTTCGCGCGACATTCTCCGCTACGTCGCATAAGTACGGCGGCAAATTATATGAGAAGAAGCGCGCGTAACGATCCCGCTACGCGCTGCGAGGAACGTGAACTTCGTGGCGCGCGAAACAACTAATTACGTGTGAGAAAATAGACGGGGACGAGAGATCGTTTTGTACGGACGTCCGAATCGGTCGAAGTCCTCGACTCCGATGATTCATCTAACACGAAAATTGCAGCTATAATTCATTACAACGCGAGAAAAGATTTGCCAGAAAAGAAAGAAGCGTTATAGCGTTATCAAAAGCAGGTCGGGCAATTTGCCCGCGATTGAATTCTCCTCACGGAGAAAAATCTCTCTTCTCTGATGTTTCTGTTCTTCGAGGATTCGGACGTCTGGAACGTGATAAACGTTGCTATACAGAGAACATAATGTAGCTGAACTCCGTCGTGTCGTTAAAGCCGTAGCTTCCTAAACGTCGGAATAAGGGACTTGACCGCATTTCCTTCTACCTTGGCGTCGCATTGCTCCATGTCGTTCGGCTCGCACGACAGTTTAGTAGAGTCCTTCGATTTGAGCGAGCTGGACACGCTCTCCGACGAGTGTCTTCTCGTGTGTACGCTGCTGCGACGTGGGGTCTGTTCTTGACGAAGTCTTAACGTATGAGGTAAACGTTCGGTTGGCTTGCGAAGGCTTCCGGCGGAGTTAAGCTCGGAAAGCAGCGAGGGTCGCTGACGGTCCCACGAGTCACTCCAACTGCAATCCGAAGGGCAACCGATGAGAAACTGGGCCAGAGGTGGGAAATATGTAACTCGCGATTTCAACGAGTGACTTGCAACAATAAAAATTTCAAGTGATGTAGTATTTATTGCATAATTATAAATCGGCGATAGTTGTCGTGCTAATCAAGAGTATCGGGCACCCCGTTTTAAATCACAAAAACCGATTTGTTTCATGTATAAAATCGCACTTACCGCACAAGGCTAATCAAAGCAGCGTGAAACATTACGTAGTGTAAATCGAGTATATTGTCGCAAAAGATTTAGGGAAACGTCTAGGTATGTACAATACAATGATCTCAATAGCCTTGAGACTCAAACGTTATATTACTGCTACATGCTGGGAACGTCATGTTTTACAAATTAACCATAAGCAAGAGTTATCTACAATGCGTCAGAATAATCGAGGATGTCTTCAAAGTTCGACATCGATTCTTACAATAAATAATTAAACTCTGTGAAATAATCGTGTAAAATGCGATTACTCGAATATCTTTTCTCTAAAAATGAAGAAGAAACTCTTTGAACGTCATACGGAGAACACGGAGAATAATATGAATACAAAAACCGTAACGTTAGAATGTCACGGCTATTCGACCAATTAAACGCGTGTGACGAAATAATTTACTCATAATGTGTAAGTCACATGTATATGTGTATGCGATATATATATATATATAGATCGATCCCAACACTTTAATAAAAAAAAAAAAAAATTGAAAAGAAATTCAATTTCCAATTTTGACAGGAGAGAACTAAAGTAACATTTTTGGATATCCAACAAATCAAATTCAGACGAATAAAACTTCTCCAAGAGATAATAAAAGTTTGTTACTGGTCGAATAGCTAAAGACTGAAGATCGTGATGCTTGGACTCATGCAAAACGAATGTAGGTTAATAGATCATGCTCAAACTAACGTTACGAGTATAAAGGAGGTGTACGAATACGAATATATTAATCGCACAAAGCAATACATATCCCAACACTATGTCACACAGATTGATGGACTCTACCTTCCCGATCCTGAAGCTGTTTGCGTAGAATCAGCCGAGTAAAGGGCGAGACCAGAACAGCAAAAACGACATATTATTTATGGCGCACATTTGTGATAAAGGTGTGTTCAAAGCGCAAGTGTTGTCAATAGCGTGAGCGTAGTTTGCGGAAATGTAACTCTCGTTCGTCAAGACAGTAAATTCGCGATCAACGCGGTTTAATCGCGTTTGTCTTCTGAGGAAAGTATTCTACTACTCGAAGATCGAATGAAGGTTCAATGCAAGATGAAAGTTTAGTGTCGGAGCTGATTGAGAGTGATATGAAGAAGGTAAATCTCACCTAACGAGAGGCCCCATGCTTCCATCCTGCGGGAGTGACTGTAGGAGCGAGGGCCCCGCCGACACTGGACGTGTCTACGATCGCAATTAAAGCGTGTTCTTTTACTCTCGATGACGAGTCACATATGAACAGTGCGAAATAAGGCACTCGATGAGTGGAATATCGCACTACCGCGCGGCGATAAAAAGCATACCTTCTCCGTCTGCGTAGCGGCGTTACACGTGTCCACGAAAGGGATGTTGTTATTGCGCGTTGGTACGATGCAGGTCTGCGCATCACCGCTCGTAGATCCTTGCAATTTCAAAAATTGAGCCTGCCAACAAACGACTCGGTTACTTATCACACTCGATACGCGACTCGCACGTCTTGTGACGGCCGCCTTGAGGACGTTCACCGACGGAGCAGCTAGAGCTTTTCATTGTCGCGCCGCGGTGATTTACCTGAAGCTGTTGTATGGTACGATCCCGGTCCTCCACTTGACCCTGAAGAAAGATCACTTGTCTTCTCAGATCCGCTAATTCGTCCGCGATACTGCTACCACCGCTACCCGGTGACGTGCTCACATCGATGGTTTCACTACCTTCGTTCAGATTCAGGTTCAGGTTACAGAAGAGACCATTCTGTAATAGCGGACAGATTATAATACGTCGTTCTTCTTGTGATTCAAATTCAGAGCTGAGTAAGATTATTGCGTGATTATTACTTGACGTTACCTTCAGCAAAATTTCTTGCTAAGAAAAGATACGAACCTTCACAGAATTATCGAATGGGTTGAGAGTGTCTGCCTAAAAAGCAGAATCAAACATCAACAACGTATACAACGCGTTCTATCGCCGAGAACTTAAGTAATTCGTAGATATTACTAGTAAATCCGCAAGTATCACTGGGAAGGAGTAAAATATCAGTGTTACCGCAAATAGCTTAATTATCATTCGTGTGTTGCAATATTGTAAGTACTACTCGTCACATATGATTTTGTGCAATCGAGTGACGAGTGATTGCACGTCAATTTTACTCGATCCCACAGTCACGATTAATTATCTCCTCATTATGTTTGCACACACACACACACACACACACACATGCATGCGAGTGAGGTGACACAACATTAGTGGCGAAAAAATATAATAATAAGGAAGAAAAAATCAATGCAACGTACCCTCGTCAAATCGTTCTCTCCTGACTTGAGACGCAAAATCAGGAAGGACGACGACAAAATGAAAAGTAAAAAAAGGTCGTGTTAATTCCAAGGGCAAAAATACGGCGCAATGTGTATAAAAAGGTGACAAAAATCCGCCGCATGTGGTCGGGCGACATCAGGCGTGCATATCGCAAGTACCCGACCGGCATAAAAAGAGAGACAGAAAAAAAGGAATTGCGCGCGAAGCACACATTGACGGGACGTGAAAGCGACGTGCAAAGATCTCGCGAGGCGAGAAACGGCAACTGTCGAATGTCGCGCGCGGACGTCGTACCTCCTGAAGAACTCGTTTGAGTTTCAGCAGCATCGTCTTCAGGGAGACGATGTCCTGGAACATGTGCTGATACGTAGCGCGGTCTATCCTCAGGCTCGCTTCGTCTCCGGAATCCAGGCATGGAGATTGCACCTGCGAGCGGAAAGATACCGTGTGAGAATCTTCGCTTCCGGCCGCGTCAGTTTATTAACCGAACGAGACTCTGCGGTGAAGTGAGCAGCGAGGCTGAGAGAGAAACCAAGAAAGAATCGTGGATACTCACATCTCCCGTTCTCCTCAGAGGACTAGAAACTTGACGATTGCGCATGCTGTCCAACGAGCGCGGCGATTCCGTTCCGGATCGGTTGCGCAGGAACCTCATCCTGTCGCCAGCGATTCTGCAAAAAGAAGAGCGAGGCGCACGATTATTCACACAGGCGCGAGTCTCTCTCGAGTTCGATAAAAAGCTCATTTGTCCGCGACTGCTCGGGAAGAAAAGACCTGACATTCGCACTCCGTAGGAGCCGGGGGAGAGGGAAGGGGCTAAGACGGAAGAACGCGTCGAACCGAATACAAGGCGCTAATGACTCATCGTACAACCTCGCGCGAGGACTCGCGCGGATTATTATCGTCGCACCTGTCATAAACAGTGAAAGCCTCCGCGAGAGCGCGGCTGAAAAGCATTCAACGCCCCGGAAGTCGCACATTCGCACGTTATCGCGGCGCTCATCGCAGTCACGCCGGTGACAAAGGGGAGAGGAGAATACACGGCGATACACGCGGATTCTCCGCTGCGATCTCCCCCTTCGCGTGCGCCAGCTCCTCTCCCTAGCTCGACTAGCTCGGAAACGTCTCTGTGAGAGCGCGCGTCCCGAAGAGAGGGTGAGCTCTACCTTCCGGAACTGTTCTTGGCGCGAAGAGCGGCGGACGCCGCGCCGGCGACGACTTGGCTGCTGCTCGGCGGCTTCGGCTGCCGCGGCGGTGGCGATCCGTTCGTAGGCGTCGAGCTCTCGGAGGAGAGGCCGGAGTCGCGTCCATCCTCGCCGATGGCCCCACTGCCGTTCTCCAGGCCGGCCGCCGCGCCGCGGCTACGCGCCGGTAAGCCGGTGCGCCTCTTGGCGCCCTTCGAGCTCTCGCACGACGAGGAGGCCATCCTCGAGGAGGCTCTCCTTTCGCCGTGAGCTCGCGAATCGGCAAGACGACGCTCACGCGTCGCGGTCTTCACTCTTCATCGGCTCGCGCTGGCGTTGTCGCGCGTTCGCCGCGGTTCCAAGTTCCACCGAAGAAGCAGAGCAAGTTTCACCGCACGACGAGTTGAAACTTTGGATTCTCGTGATGAGAAAAAGAAAGAGAGAGAGAGAGGGAGAGGGAGAGGAAGAGGGAGAGGGAGAAAAAGAGAGAGAGAGAGAGAGAGAGAGAGAGAGAGAGAGAGAGAGAGAGAGAGAGAGAGAGAGAGAGAGAGAGAGAATCACGACTCTCCTTGGCGAGAGTCGAACGAGGTTTCCAGGGATGGAGTTTTCAACGGCGACGAAAGACGAAAGCTTGAAGCAACATATTCATCGACAGGGAAAAAAGAGCTTCGAGAAATGATAATTCCTCTGCAAGCAACCATGTGCGAAAACAATGGCAACATTTATATCCAATTTGTCCTCGCCGATATTTTAGAGGGATTTTATTCCTCGCAGGTTTTTCACGTATCCGGCCAATGATTAGCTCTACGCGTAAAATGAACGCAAGTCCAACATAAAGTGTTGAGAGCGACAGTTCGGGAAGAAAGTTCACGGCACGGTGACGAACGCGACGCGACGATCGGCGCGAGAATCAGACGGGCGTATATCGGCGCGCAGAGCGAGCTGCATCGCGACGTTCGTCGGAGCGCGGGCTCGAAGTGTACGGAGGAGGAAACGGCGTCGGGACGGACGAGAGATCCGCTGGAATTAGCGCGAGAGAGGACGAAAGAGAGCCCGGCGCGTAGAGCCGCGGCGATGAGTAATTCGCGAAACATGCGGCTGCACTCACTTTCCCGAAACGCTCGCCGCGCCGGCTCGCGCGCCTAATTATCTAATTGCAGGCGTTCCGCGTCCGCAATCCTCGCGCGGAATTATGCAAATTCGATTGTCGACGACGAGCGTGCGATCCGCTCGACCGGGGAGGAGGTCGCGACACATTCCGCCGATGAGCGAAGCGGGATAATCTAATGCGCGAAATTACGAGAGCGTTCGTTCGTTTCACGTCACTCCCTCATCAGCTTCTGAGAAACGATTCGTCCAATGCCGCTGTTTACTCAGCGCTCGCGACATCCCTCCCGCGATCTATCTTCTTTAACGCATCCGAGGAGTCCTCGGTCCATTTGAACCTCCTCGTCCTCGCGCCTCGTCTCTCGCTCGCTTATTATTCGCTCATTAACGCCGCCGTGGTCCCTTCATTTTCACTTCATTTTCGTAACAATCCCGAATGCGCGCACTCGAAAAGCTTGAGTCACAGCGCCGCGCGGGTGAAAGTTACCTTGTTGAAATCTTTCGGAACAATTACCGTATCCTCCTCGTTCGCTCAAGCGTCTCGCGAGCGCTTACCGAAGCGAAAAGTATCATCGTCAACGCGCCGCGCTTCGTTTTTTTCTTTCTTACTCGCGCTCGTCGAGGGAATCGAATAATATGTCGTTTCATCGCTGTCTATTGATTCCAGAACTGAGACCGTCTCATTGTAAATTCAACCAATTGCAGCGTAGCTCACGCGCTTGACATGCTTGCGAGCGCGGCACAATTTTCATATTCCCAAAGTGGCACATCGCGTGAGCGAGTTTACGCTAATTTCATTGATGCCATGCGGAAAAACTTTATCGACTAAACCGTAGAATCCCGAGGGAGAATCTTTGTGCTGTTAATACTTCGCGTCCGATTTTTAATGACACATTAAATACATAAGACCGTTCGATCGCGCGCGCGCGCGCGATACGTTACATCCGCTCCTCACGGTATCGAAAGGTGACAAGGATGACGTGCTCGGAGTAGCCGAAAATAGCCGTCGCAACACACGAAAGCGGAAGAATCAGGTCGCGACCGGTCGCCGCCGGCGACCTTATCTTTTACCTGCACCGAAAATCGAACGTCCGCCAACGCGGCTGTATGAAAACGCTCTCCCTCTCTCTCTCTCTCTCTCTCTCTCTCTCTCTGTCTCTCAATTGAAACCGTCACCACTCACACCCACATCCCACATCCACACACGAGAGCGAGCGCTTGTCGCTCTCTCACGATCAAACAGCACCACACACGATTGGTCGGGCCAGTTTTTCGAAAGAACAGTCACTCCCGAGCGGAAAAGCCCGTCGTCGTCGTCGTCGTCGTCGTCGGCGTCGTCGTCGGCGTCGCAGGAGAAACTGGAGGAGCGTTCGCTTTCGTTGAGCGTCGCATATCGGCTCGTCCTGCCGAAGCGACACGCGCAATTGCGAAAAACCCGGCGGGTTCTCCCGGCGACAACACGTGTCCCTCCGAGGGGAATTGACAGTTCGGAGTACGAGAGGACAGTTCGACGAGCAGCTTATTGGCCGGAGTGTTAGCCGAAGTGAGCTGCGACGGCCGGCAGGTAGACAGGATTACCAAGGATCCTCCGAGGGATACTGGTAGCGCGTGCGCAACTCGCGCTACGGCGACGGCAGCTTGGTTCGATACCGTGGTGGATGGCGAGGGAGAGAGGAGAGAAACGACGTCGGCGGCAGAGAGAGAGAGAGAGAGAGAGAGAGAGAGAGAGAGAGAGAGAGAGAGAGAGAGAGAGAGAGAGAGAGAGAGAGGGGCGGGGGAAAACGGTAGGGGGGAATAACAGCTGCGGACGGTAGGGAGCAGGTAGTTGCAAGGACGGTGGGGGTGATAATGGGAAAAACTGCGGGAACTATCGCGACGGGCTTTAGGACACTTTAGGGCACGAATCACCGACCGATACTTCCCAGCGAGAAGGAGCAATTAGTATAAGCGACCGTTTAATTTCCTGGACCCTCCCCCCCCCCATTCGGCTTTCAAATTTGCGCTCGAGGATGTCTCTTCCACTTCCTATTCCGGCTGTCTCTCTCCTCCGAACGCTCCGCTCCGCTGTCGACGTCGCCGCGACGTTCAATCGAGAGAGTCACTTGCTTCATTTCCCCGATCGAGAGGTCGTCGGGATCGACAGGTGTCCAGCGTATTCCGAAGAATCCGCCGCAAACGGGTTCTTACGGCAAGAAACAACGTAACGAATGCACCAAGTCCTGCTATTCCCGCGACTCTGACTCAACTCCGCGGCGGTCTCAGCCGAATATTTCATCAGCCGTCAGGCCGGTAATTAGACAGCTGTGATCTGTTGAAATTAATGTCGTCCAGGTCGACGACCTGTTCCGTCTATCCCAAATAGCGAACAGCCTGTCGATCGATGCGACCGGAAATAGCGCTCTCGCGTCGAGTCGGACCGTTTCACATATTTCAATGAGTACCTCAACACACGACGCGAGCTTGTTTGCAAAGTTTCGCCTGTGTGTGTGTGTGTGTGAGTGAGCTCTGTCCGATCACTTTATCGGTCTTTATCTCGAGTGTGACTCAAGTCACTGTTTGCTCACCACTCGAACGTCACGTCGGCGAGACCACGTCGCTAGACCGTTCATAGAGACCACATCGCTCGAAGCACGCTCTCGACTGAGCACCTGCAAATCAAGACCCGCCAGTGCCTAACCGGGCCCGAATCATTGTCAAATAAAACCTCGCCTGGTTCCGACAAAGTCAGACCCGAGTTCACCCCCCGGATCGTTCTGTTGACAAGAAACTGATCCGTCTCAGGCTTGGCTCCGACTTCACCAAAGTTGATCAAGTCGCCAGACGTCCGAATTTCAGCTGGACACTCCGGAACTCACTGTCAGCGTCCGGCTGATGTTAGAAACGTCCAAATTTTGTTAAAAATGTTGTATAAACATCCCTTGTCATATAAACATCCTAAAACTGTACTTCCAGTTCCTGCACTGAGAAAAATATCCGAAATATCCGATCGTTAATTTCGTTATCCGATCAAGTATCCGGTGTATTTAATCGGATATCTGATCGGATAACAAAATTAACAATCGGATATTTCTGATATTTTTCTCCGTGTGATCTCCAGCTCTTTAAATCTTCAAGTCTGGCGACTTCGACGTTGACTGAGCCGAGTTGCGTTCGACGATGAATCGAAGCTCGATTCACAGGGCTCTGCCGCGGAAGAGAAATCCTCGAGCACACATCATAACGGCGGGATCATCGCTGCTTCGCGTGACGCGTCTTCGGCAAAAATAAGGGATCAATACTTCCCGGCAGCTGCCCTTCGGATAGCTCGACCAGTCTCACTCGGCAATTCTCGCCCTCTCGGCTTTGGCGCAGGGCTCTCTGCCAATTTGGCTGCGGCAACG